TTCCAAAACCAAATTTTCCACTGCATGATTCGTCACTGGTAAATTAGAAAATTTTTCGAATTCACTTGTCACAAACACGAGACTGTCACCGACCTTGTGATAATCCACGTAAGGTGAATCGGTGAAAGATCGCCCCACTAAAACATCCAACGAGTGAAAATTATCAGGAACTATTACAAGTCTCACTTCCGGCACTACGATTCCATCAATCGACAAATTGCACTTGACATATCCAGGACAACAGTTGGTAAAATGTTCCGGTCCGAAGCTCTTCAATACAACGTCTTCTCGAACAACATTAAATTCGTGCTTTATAACTGCTGAGGCTTTTATCGTGCACTCCGCTGCACCTGGGTCGATTAAAGCTGAAAGATTTATTCCATCTACGGTTATCTCTTTTATATATTTATGAATAGAAATGTCTTGTTTCGCAATGTTTACCTGATTGACGATGGAGTTTACCGAATTTCCATTTTCGTTACAATGCCTTTGAGTATGGCCTTCCTTGTTACATTTACTGCATCTTTCCGATTTCGAAGGTCCAGGGCAATTTCTAGAAATGTGTCCGAACAGCTGACAGTTGTAGCACTTCAATTGGCCATCAGCATTTCTAATAGGCGGCCGTTTATCTGGATTGTTGACAGGATTACTTCTCGAAAATGTATTATTGTCCTGCGGTTCGGTTTTGGTGACGTTGTGAGGTGTTGCAATATACGGTTTCTTGTCGGGTATTACTTTATAATTTTCCTTCGATGCTTTTATTCTTTCTCGTCGCTGATCATTTAATCTCTCGTTAGCCAACATGTCGTGCAATAAATTCTCGACATCTGAATGAGTGCGGGCTGCCATTGACGAACAAAGGTCACGAGACCATAATCCAATTAAAACTTGTTCTTTAATCTCCAAAAACGATAATTTTAAGTCACTACACAATTTCACTTTGTTGTAAAAATAAGTTGTTAACATTTCATTTTTATCTTGCACTCGATCAGACATTTTTTTCCACTTCACCGTTAAGGTTTCTGTCACTACAAAAGATTTACGAAATGCTTCACAAAACCCACTCCACGAATATTGATGAGCGTTGTTTAATCGAAACCAGTCTAATGCACCGTCTTTCAGATGAGATCTGGCGGTCTCCAGCGCGAAATTGTCGGGCCAGCAGTGAAGAAGTTTCATACTTTCGAGAGATTTAATCCAATCGTTAGCTTTTGATGTTCCCATTTCACCAGAATAGTTGTCAATGTTTCCACTTAAGTCTGGCATAATATGGTAGTTGAGGTTAGGATTTCGAGTGTTTTCAGAAATGGAATTGTTCGTCAATCTTTCACACATTTGTAACATCAACTGATCTCTGCGTCTCCCGTCTTCAATTAGATTAAGAATGAGATTTTGCATGTGATTATTCGCTAAAGGATCGTCGAGTGTATCGGCGTATTGTCTCGGTGAAGGTTGATTTTGAGCAGCGGGAGTGGAGAGGATGTCACGACGAACATGTAGATTCTGCTGAGAAAAATTTCCAGTGCCATCTCGTGTGTGAAAAGAATCATCTTCGTATCGGTTACCGATGGTAGTACTTTGGTTATCAACGCCAGGTCTTCGGGTATTTTCGTGTACTCGGCTTAAAGATGGCGCGCATATACCTCTACCACGTCCAAATGATAGGCGATTTTGCGGCAATAAATTCGTTGATGGTCTGTTTAAAGGCGTAGAAAAATCCTCTTGGTTAGCCAATCTATGGGGGTTTTGAATTTGTTCTTGAAAATCCTCGAATTGTTGAGCGGTGATGCTTCCTTCCTCGTTCGACATTTTTATCTTTGTATTAGTTCACGCGGCACGGTCAAGTTTAAACACGTTTAGCGTCCGCCATTAGCACATGCTGATTTAGAAAAAATCGTTTCAATCGCGTCAAAGTTAATAAAAGGGAAAACAACGTACGCGTCACGTAATAAAATAAACAATAAAGTCTCCCTTTTATCCCACTTCTGAATGTTGGAAACTTTAATTTATTAGCAAAACTGTAGTAATTATTAGGTTTTAAGCCGGGTTCAAAATAATAAAAGTCACTTGATTTAAATAAAAGAAAGATTAAAACAAAACTTTAATGGTTAAGAAGATGACATAATGTTTAATTCGTTCGCACAATGTTACTTTTCGCACAATATTCGCGTGTTCGTACTTCGCTCTCTAATCGCTCATTCAGACATCACGCCTCGACCTCGCCATGATGCTAACTGTCCGCCTTTTCGGTCTATGCGAACCAAACGAAACTTACGTTCATTCATACGGTGATTTATCGTGAATTACGTACAATAAGGCGCTAACAATTTTAATAAATTTTTCTGCAATAATTCAATTATTTTCAAAAATAATAATATTCTTCTCTGTAATTCAATTATTTTTGAGAATATAATAATAAAATTCTATTCAAATTAAAAACCATTCAATTATTTTCATAAGTAATAAAATTCATAGGAGGATTTCAATTATTTTTAATACAATTTTACAGGAATTGCTCAAAAATTTTAATTATTCTTAAAAACTTAATTTTAATTCCTCGAAAAAATAAATTATTTAAAAAAATGTTTTTTTTAAATTCTATGGAAGAATTGAATAATTATTTTAAAAAATTTAATAAAATTGTTCGAAAGAAATTAATTGTTTTAAATACGATTTTAATTAAATTTTTTTGAAATAATTCAATTTTTTAAATTTTAATAACATTTTTCTAAGAATTCAATTATTTACACGAATAATTTTTTGAAAGAAAAATTATTAAAGATTATTAAAGATAAATAAAAAAATTACCCCCGAAAATTCAATTATTTTGAGGTACCTATTTTAATAAATTTTTTTTCAAAATTCAATTATTTTCATAAATAACAATATTCATCACAATAATTCAATTATTTTTAAAAATAATAAATTTCTTCTTGGAAATTCCATTATTTTAAAAAATTCTAATAAATCGTTTGCAATAATTCTATTATTTTCATAAATAATAAACTGTTTTTTAGGAATTTAATTATTTTCAAAAAAATTTAATAAAATTTCCCACAGCTATTCAATTATTGACAAATTTTTTAATAGAACTCTTTGTAAAATTTAACTATCTTTAAAAACTTTTCGCAATTCAATGATTTTCAATATATACTATTTCATAAAATTTCCAAACAGAATTCAATTATTTAAAAAATGTTTTGTAAAAATTTAATTCTTTTCATAAATAATAAAAATTTTCATTAATTCAATTATTTAAATTAGAATTTGCATAAAATTATTCGAAAGAAAGGAATTATTTAAAAATTTTTATAAAATTCTTCGCATGAATTAAATTATTTTGAATTCTTTCATGAATAATAAAATTCGTAGCAGAAATTCAATTTATTAGCAGGATAAGAAAAAAGTAAATATTTTTTATGAAAATTAGGAAAAAGTCAGGAAAATAAAAAATATGGAATGGAAATTTTGTCAATTTTGTGAAGTGAATAAAACGAGTTTTTTTTCTTTTTTTTTGACATTAAAAAAAATGAAAATAACCCACAAAAATTAATATTCAAAACAAACAAATGAATGCAGATAATTTGCTAACGGAAAGGAAACTTACGATTATTATAATGTATTATATTTATGTATTTTTGTATTTAAATAAATGAATTTGAAATGAGTTTCAGTTAAAATATTAGATAATAATTGAATATTAAAAGCATTAAAGTGTGAATTTTTACAAATAATTGAAATTTTGTAAAATTGAATTGTAAACAAATGAATTTGAAAATTTTCAAAAAACTTTTCCGAAAATTATTAAAAATAATGCTTTTATAGAAGAATTTTAGTTAAAAACACGAAAAGAAATTTTAATTTTGGAAAAGTTACAAATTACTGCAGAAATTCAATTATTTTTAAGAGTAATAACATTCTTTCTAAAAATTAAATTCTATTGTTTAAATATAATAAAATTCTTCTTAGGGATTCAATTATTTTGGCAAATAATAAAACTTATCGCAGAATTTCAATTATCTATTTCTAATACAATTTTAATCAAATTTCTCGAAAAATATAATTATTACCTATGAAAAATATTATTAAAATTCGTCGGAAGAATTCAATTATTTAAATATTTGTTGATAAAATTCTTTATGGGAATTGAATTTTAAGAAACATTCAATTTTTCAATAAGTTATTTATTTTTGTATTTAAATAATTTAATTCTAGTAGAATTTTCTAATAAAAATTGATTTAAAAATGAATTTAAGTTAAAATTTTAAATAATAATTGAATATTAAAAGCAATATTGCGTGAATATTTGGAAATAATTTAATTTTGAAATTAATTTTTTTGAAAAAGTTTAATTGAATTTTTTTTATATTGTTTGAAGTTTTTATTTTCTAATATATATATATATATATATATATTTAATTGAAGAATTTACGAATACATAATTGAAATTTCGTAAAATTGAATATTGTATAAAAAAATGGATTTGAAAATTGTCAAAGAACTTTTTCTAAAATTATTAAAAATAATCGATTTAAAGAAGAATTTTAGTTAAAAATTCTTGAAAATAATAATTGAATTGATAATGATTTTATCACTCGGTCATCTTTAATTACTATAAAACATGAAGAAACGATCACTCCGAGTCGAAGACTTCGAGTTATCGATATCTTCATGTTTTATATAAAAAATTTAATTTATAGTTTTAAGTAAAATGTTCTCTTATTTGACTCGGACTATTTATATTTTTGTTAGTTTGTAATTATTAATTATTATTAACTAATAATTAATAATATTATTAATATTATTAATAATAATTTATAATAATTTATATAATATTAATTAGCTCCCCAATTTTTCATTTTTGGTGCGTAAAGTCTGTATTTTTAAATACTTTCACTGGTTTGAGCCCTGAAAAATATACAGATCAATTAAATTTATAAATTTAACATTTGTCAAAAACGCTTTAAATGATTATTAAAAATCTTATGATTTTGTTCCAGGACAAGTTTGAAGCTGTAAATCAAGCTTATGAATTTCTATGTAGTCGAAGTTGTTGGACAACAGACGGCCCAAATCCCGATAATATTGTTTTAATTTTAAGAACGCAAAGTATTCTATTTCACCGATATAAAACAGAATTGGAACCGTACAAGTATGCCGGGTATGGACAGATTATTACAACAATACAAATGGAAACTGCGGATGATCAATTGTTTTCAAAGTCCACACCTTTATTATCAGCAGCAAGTGAACTTGTTTACCATACGGTTAATTGCTCGAAATTAAACGCCGAAGAATTAAGAAGAGAAAATGGTTTAGAAGTTCTTCTAGAGGCTTACACGAGATGTGTCTCAGTACTGAATAAATCGAGTAAACCTACTGAAGCTGCAGTTCAAGTTTGTATACATATCACAAAATGTTTCTCCGTCGCTGGATCGTTCAGAGGATGTAGGGATAAAATCATCGAATTACCTCAATTGGTTAAAGATCTATGTAGAATATTACAATTTAAGGTAAGTTATAATGTAATTATTTATCTTTCTTTGTGATTTTTGATTTAGTTCTACTTTAATGAATAATTACATAAAATTCATTTATGTCTCAAATTCAATTAGTTGAATTTATCTTTAGAATTTTTATTGAATTTAATAATTACTACATTTTTAAATAATCCAATGAAATAGGAAAATGAAAACCTTCGCTTGGACGCATAGGCTCAAGCCTAATAAATTGTTCCCTAGAATTTATAAGAAAATTCTAAACTTTTTTGTCTTTCTTGTTTGCCTCATAAACTATGAAATTACCACGAATTCTAATACAAAATCTTCAAATTTTTCTATTTCTGATAATAATTTTTTTTTAAATAACTTAATTCTTGAATTATCACAAAATTATTATTTATAAATTATTTAATGAATAATCTTACTTAAATATCTTAAAATTAATTGAATTTTAATAGAGTTGCGTTTACAATTTTTATAAATAGATGAACTTCAAAAGGATTTAATTTTTCATTTTATCAAATTTCAATTCTGAATGAATTCAATTATAAATTTTAAACAAAAATTAGTTCTTTTTTATTTTAATGATTTAAACTATTTTCAAATTAGTTGAATTTTTTAAATTATACTTAATTATTTCAAAAGTTTAAACCCAATTCTTCGAAAGAATTCAATTATCTTGATAAATAAGCAAATTCTTTCTAGAAATTCAATTATTTTCAAGTATTTTAATAAAAATTTTTTGCAAAATTCAAATATTTTCATAAATAAAAATATTCATCAAAAGAATTTAATTATTATTTTCAAAAGTATTAAAATTCTTTGCAGAAATTCAATTACGATCAAAAATTTTGATAACATTTTTGACTAAATTTTAACTATTTTCTTGTATTCAATGATTTTCAATATCTACTTTAATAAAATTTCCCAAAAGAATTCAATTATTTAAAACAAATTTTGATAAAATTCTACGAAAGCATTCAATTTTCATAAATAATAAAAATTTAACAGGAATTCAATTAATTTTAAAAATTTTCCACAATTCAATGACTTTAATATCTACCTATTTTAATAAAATATACAAAAAAAATTCAATTATATACCTATTTAAAAAAAAATTTAATAAAATTCAACGCCAACATCTATAAAAATTTTACAGGAATTCAATTATTAACAAATTTTTTATAAATTTCTGCGCAATAATTCAATTATTTTCATAAAATTATTTTTATAATTATTTTTATAAAAAATAAAATTCTTTGTAAGAATTCAATTATTATCATAAATAATAAAACTCATCGTAGAATTTCAATTATTTTTAATACTATAATTGAATATTAAAAGCATTATAGCGTGAATTTTTAGAAATAATTTAATTTTGAAAAGGTTTCAAATTAAAATTATTTGAAAATCTGAATTTTTTATATTTTTAACTAACAATTCTGTAAAATAAATTTTTTTGGAAAAGATTAATTGAAATTTTGTTGAAATTATTTAAAGTTTTTATTTTCTATTGTATATTTAATTAAAGAATTTTCAAATAATTGAAAATTCGTAAAATTGATTTTTTAAACAAATAAATTTAAAAATTCTCGAAGAAATTTTTAAAAACTTTTTAAAAAATCATTAAAAGTAATTAATTTAAAGAAGAATTTTAGTTAAAAATTCGGGAAAATAATAATTAAATTGAAATGATGAAAATAATTTTGAAAAAGTTTAAATAAAAGTTTTCTTATAATATAAAATAATAATTTTATCACTCGGTAATCTTTAATTAATTAATTATAAAACATGAAGATATCGATTGCTCCAATCACTCAGAGAGATCGATTTCTTCATGTTTTATAACAATTTTTTATAAGTTGTTTAATTTCAAAAAGTTTTAAAATTTGAAATTTTTGAAAATCTTAATTCCTGTGGAAAAATAATAATAATTAAATATTTATTTAAAAAAGAAGTTATTGTTGTTTTCGAATAATTTTACAATTAAAGAAATTCGTAAATAAATGTAAAAGAACATTTTTTTGAGTAAAATTTTTTTTTAAATTCAAAAATTTTCAATTAAAATTTGTAAATTAACAAATGGAATTTATAAACATTTTTTTCCTTTATTTTTAAAAAACTTTGAATTTTATTAAAACAATTGTTATTAAGAAATAGAAATGAGGCAAATTATTTCCTTATGAAAATTGAGAATTTTCTACAAAAATATTAAGAAACGGAAATATTTAATGTTTTTTTTTTCAAAAGAAAAATAAATTAAAAATTTCCTATTTTTTATAATTGAAAAGGAGAAAAATTAGCAGAATTTAGATCAGTCACACGAAATTTGTTATAAAAAGAAGCAGATAATAAAGAAAATAGGTATATTTTTTATTTGTTAATCATAATTTTTTTTATATTTTCTAATTTCAAATATTATTTTATTATAAATCATGAAAAAATGCCTGTTTATTTTCGATTTGTCAAAGAATATTTTTTAAAGAAAGAAAAACACAAGCATACAAAAAAACTAACTTCAAAGTGTTGACAGACAGGAAAAATAAAAGAATACGAAGATTATTATAGTTAAAATTAAAATAAAATAATTATTTACATTTATAGAATGTGGTTTTTATTTTATTTAATTTCTGTTAATTATATTTATAATGATAATTATGATTGTTCATCCGCAGCACTTAAAGAAGTTATGTTCAGTGACTACAGATTGCATTTCTTCTCTGGCTGCGGATAGTATACTTCAAATGCAATTGTTACAATCTGGAGCGTTGTATCACCTTCTTTTCTTTATGTTCAATTACGATTACACATTGGAAGAGGGAGGCGTGGAAAGAAATGAAAATGATAATTTGCAAGAAGTTTCAAATAATCTCGCAAAACTGGCTGTTAGAGCTTGTGCTCGATTAGGTGGATATATGAAAGGAGAAGATGAAACGCCTGTCAATCCAGTGACAGTGATGACACTGGAAAAGTTGCTTACGCCTTATTTATCAAGACAACTGTCAAGCGATAAACCAAAAGAAATCCTGAAGACTCTAAACTCCAATTGTTATAATCCATACATGATTTGGGATAACAGTACAAGAGCGGAATTGATTGAATATTTAAAAAGTCAACGACAAAATAAATTTGGTAGCAAGCCAAATATGCAACATGACTTCATTGATCTTACGTATAGCGCTCATAAAAATGAATTGATCATAGGCGAAATATACGTTAAAATTTACAATGAACAACCTACATTTCCCATTGAGGTAAGTGAAAATTTTAATTGTCAATTAATAATCTTTCTTATAAACTTGTCAATAAAATAAGGCACATACATAGTCTTTAGAATTCTACATTTCATAGAATTTTATTTTAAACTATTTTCAGTTTTTTTAAATTTTTCTTAATTGACTTTAAATTACAGATTGAAAATTTTCATTCATTTTTTAATTAACACACTTTTTATTTAAAATAATTTTTATATAAAAAAATTTTATTTATAAGAATTAAAGAGAACAGACTTCGCACTCGATAATTCATTTTAAAACAGTAGCAAAAAGTAGCTTTCTAACTAAACAAAAGTATGTAGTAAAAAATAGCTATAGAAAAATTAAACTTGACGACAAAAAAAACTCATTTTAGACACTTCACAAAACTGACGAACATTCCATATTTTTTATTTTCCTGACTTTTTCCTAATTTTCATCAAAAAAATTTACTTCTTTCTTATCCTGCTAATAAATTGAATTCCTCCAACGAATTTTATTATTCATGAAAGAATTTAAATATTTATAAAAATAATTTAATTCTTTTGTCAAGAATTTTATTTAAATAATTATTGATTTCTTTCGACTAATTTTATGCAAATTCTAATTTAAATAATTGAATTCCTGAGGAATTTTTATTATTCATGGAAAGAATTAAATTCTTACGAAGATTTTCACAAAAAAAAATGTTTTAACAATTGAATTCTGTTTGGAAAGATTATGAAAATAGTAGATATTGAAAGTCATTGAATTGCGAAAAGGTTTTAAAAATAATCAAAACAAAGAATTCTATTAGAATTCTTGAGAGAATAATTGAATATCTCTGTGGCATTTTATTAAATTTTTTTGAATTCTTAAAAAGCATTTTATTATTTATGAAAATAATTGAATTCTTGCGAACGATTTTATTATAATTTTTTAAAATAATTGAATTTTGCAAAGAATTTTATTAAAATGTCTCAAAATAATTGAATTTTCGGGAATAGTTTTTTTATTTATCGACATAATTGAATTTTTTCAAAGATTTATTTATGTAAATAATTGAATTCTTGGGAAGAATTTTATTTAAAACTAAAAGAATAATAATTGAGGCTTCGGATCTTAAAAGGGCACTTTCAGCATTGATATTAAATGGTAGAAGTGCCCTTTTTTTAGACAAAAAAATTTTAATTAAAATTGTATTTAAAATAATTGATTTCTTTTGAAAAATTTTATTTTAATATTTGAAAACAATTAGATTTCTGTGAAAAATTCTAATATTTTTGTAAATAATTGAATTCTTCCAAAAAATAAAAAAAAAAACATTTTTTTAAATAATGTAAAATTATATTAAAAATAATTGAAATCCAGCAGTGAATTTTATTATTTATGAAAAATATTGAATTCCTGAAAAGAATTTTATTAGAATTTTAAAAAATAATTGGATTTCCAAGAAAAAATTTATTACTTTTAAAAATATTTGAATTCTTGTGATGAATATTATTATTTATAAAAATAAATAAATTTTGCAAAGAATTTTATTAAAATATTTGAAAATAATTGAACACCTGTGAAAAAGTTTAATATTTTTGTAAATAATTGAATTCTTCCAAAAAATTTTTTTTAATAATTGATTTTTTCGAAGAATTGAAATTAAATTTTTAAGAATAATTTTTTTTGAGCAATTCTTGTAAAATTGTATTAAAAATAATTGAAATCCAGCAATTTATTTTATTGTTTATGAAAATAATTGAATAATTGCAAAGAATTTTATTAAATTTTTCGAAAATAATTGAATTCCTGAGAAGAATTTTGTTATTTATGAAAATAATTGAATTATTGAGAAAAATTTTATTCAAATGTTTAAAAAGAATTGAATTTCTGTGAAAAAGTTTGTTATCTTTGAAAAATAATAATTAAATTAGTCATAAGAATTTTATAAACATTGTTTTAAATAATTAATTTTTTCAAAATATATTAAATATTATGAAAATTTTATTTTTATTAATTGAATTCTTGTGGAAAACTTTATTTGTGAAAACAATTGAATTTTTGATTAATTAATTTAAAATAGTATTAAAAATAATTGAAATTCTTCGATTTATTATTTATGAAAATAATTGAATTCTTTTGCGAAATTTGATGATGAATTTCGAATATTTTTTTTAAAACAATTGAATCGTTTTAAAGAATTTGATTATAATTTTTGAGAATAGTTTTTTCATATCTAGTATTAACGAATTTAGTAGTAGAAATTCTAAAAAATAACAGAAATAGTAGCTTTTAGTCCAAAGTACTGCATAATAATAATTATGAATTTTTGCAGAATTCAAAAGGTTTCACCATTGATTTGTTAGAGTTTTTATCAAAATATTCGGAATATTTAATTTCCCTTGATGGAATAACTTTAGCAGAAAAAGATAACGAAAAATTGAGGCACATCGTAATGTCTCTTGAGGGATTGAAGAATATTATTAAAAATAATCCTGACGTCGAAATACAGTGCATTGGACATTTTAAATTATTATTTCAACTTTTAAGTTGTAACAATAATAATAATAATAATTTTAAGGCGATACAAAAAGGTGCCTTAGAAGTAATTATCAACGTTACGAAAAATCAGGAGTGCGTTAATGATATTGCAGCAAACGATGTTGTAGTCCATTTACTTTTGTGTCTAAATACGTTGAAGGATTCACAGCTCCAAATTCTTGAAGCATTGTATGCTTTAATGAGTACGACGAAGATTGTGAAAGATGCTTTAAATAAAGGTAATTGAAAGTAAATATGTGACCAGTCCAAGAAACAAAGGAGCTTTGGTGTGAAAAAATAATTTTTCACTTTTTTGCCAATTCGGATAGAATTTGAGACGTTGTCTCATATTTTTTAAAAATTTAACAGATTTTGAAAATTTTAAAAATTTGACATCGTATTCGTAATCGAACCTTAAAAACCCCCGAGTAATGAATTTCAAGCGAATCCAATGCATTTTAAAATTCGTCTGCCATATTGGATCCACCATTTTGAGTTTTTAAAATCTAATACCCCTTTTTTCTAGACCAGGTCACATATATAATTTAATCGCTTAAAATTTAAAAAGTAATCACTGTAAATGAGAAATAATTCTGTTATTCTAAAAAGAAAAAGAATTATTGTTATTTATTTATTTTATGTTTTAACAGGTGCTGTTATATACATTCTCGATTTATTTTGCAATTCAAATAACGCACAAGTCCGTGAAGCTGCAGCAGAGTTACTTGCTAAAATGTCTTCCGATAAATTAGCAGGTCCCAAAGTGAAATTAGATTTGTCCAAGTTCCTGCCACGATTGTTTAGCGAAGCAATTCGAGATGCTCCAAAGCAATGTGTCCATATGTTCGAGTCGAAGCAGGAAAATCCGGAATTAATTTGGGACGATCACTCCAAAATAAAAGTGTCTAAATTGATTGCCGAATTAAAGGATGAGTAAGTTAATTTTTTGCTGAAACTTTATTTTAGACCTATAATTATACATTTTGATAATTTTTTTACTTTAAGGTAGTTCTCCGGCTGTTACTCTTGAAAAATTGATTTTCGATAGATTTTCTTCAAATTTTGAAAAAATGTTTCCTCAAGTGCCCTTTAAATGTGGTAAAAATTTCCAAACCCTTTGCGATGCTAAATTTTGAGTTATTCAAGTTCAAACTTTCACTTTTATATGCGATTATGTTAAAAATAAAAAATGTCAACCACAATATCTCGTTCTTTGACATGGCAAAGGGTTTTGAAATTTTTCCCACATTTAAAGGGCACCCGAAGAAACACTTTCTCAAAATTTGAAGAAAATCTATCGAAAATCAATTTTTACAAGAATAGCAGCCGGAGAACTATCTTAATGCATAAAATATATTGTAATTTTGTTATTTTCGTTTCAAACTTTCCTCATTTCAATGATTTTCAATATCTACTATTTTAATAAATTTCCCAAAAGAATTCAATTTTTTAAAAAAATTGTCCTCAAACATTTACAAATTATTTTCATAAATAATCAAAATTGCACTGGAATTCAATTATTAACAAATTTTTTGTAAATTTCTTCTCAATAATTCAATTAATTTCATAAATAATAAATTTTTTTTATTAATTTAATTATTTTTATGAATAATAAATTTGTTTTAGGAATTCAATTATTTTCATAAATAATAATAAAGCTCATCGCAGAATTTTAATTATTTTTAGTACAATTTTAATCGTATTCCTCGAAAAATGTAATTATTCTTAAAAATTTGATTAAAATTAGTCAAAAGAATTCAATTATTTAAAAATTTGTTGATAAAATTTTAAAAAACATTCAATTTAATAAATTATTTACTTTTGTATTTAAACAATTAAATAATTTTGAAAAGGTTTCAAATGAAAATATTTGAAAATTAGAATTTTCAATACTTTTGAAGAATTATTTTTTTTGAAAAAGTTTAATTTAATTTTTTTGTAAATAATTTGAAGTCACATGGAAATTTTTCCAAATTCTCAGAAATTTTCCAATATTTTCATAAGGAAATTTTCCTAAACGTTTGACAGAATTTTTCCAAACTTTTGGGATTTTTGTACACTATTTCATGAGAATGTTTCTAAAGTCATAGAAAGTTTTCGATAATTTTTTAGAAAAATTCCCTTATCTATGTTAGTAAATTTTTCTAAACAATTAGTGGAATTTGCTTCCTAAATTTTTTTGGAAAAATTTCCCAAATTTTCCTAACAATATTCTTAATATAAAATAATCATAATACTTGTATACCACCTAAGTTGTTTAATTTCAAAAAGGTTTAAAATTTGGAATTTTTGAAAATCTCAATTCCTGTGTAAAAATAATAATTAAATATTTATTTAAAAAATAAGTTATTGATGTTTTCGAGTAAATTTACAATTAAAGAAATTCATAAATAAATAGGAAACAAGATTAAGTTTTTAGTTCATTTTATCCAAGTTAATCTATTTATAAAGCCTTTATTTCATTGACAAAAGCATTTTTTAAATAAATTCACATGCAGGATAAAAAAAATATAATATACAGCAAAACAGCTACAAATGTTTGATTTTCAAACTCGCAACCAAGCCCCAATGCACTCTACTCTAAATCTTGTTTTTATTTTAGACATTATAACATCCAGAAGCGAAATCCAAACGCATTGCTGAAATTGGCTGATGCACAGAATAATGTAGACCCAGCTACGAATGAGCCTGTTGTAGGAGGAGTTTACCTAAGATTATTTATTGCTAGTCCAACGTGGGCTCTTAGAAAACCGAAAGAATTTTTAAGTGAGCTTATGGAAACAATCTTAAATTTAATGTCCAGGGAAAAGACTGATGTATGTATTATAAACGCAAATATAATTCATCTGTCATTCCATTATATTCCAACCAAAGTCGTTGCTGACTAATTTTTAAAAATTATAATACTTTGTAGGAATATCATTTCGTAATCTTGAGACCTTAAATAATATTCCTACAAAATATTATAATTTTAAAAAATTATTCGGCTTTGGTTGAAATATAATGGAATGACTCTCATGTTTATATGAAAATGTCGTAAAAAGTTTATAATTTTTATTGTCATTTTCAGTCAGATATGCTAGAATTAACAACTCAAGCTTTAGTAAATCTATTGCAAGCACAACCAAACTTAGCGGACCAAATACCTTCCTTAGGTCACATACCACGTTTATGCCGACAAATGTCAATACGGAATAATCAGCCATCCGTTTACAAAGCTGCAATATTAATATTACATCAATTAGCAAATAGTGAGGTAAAATTTTCAAATTTTTATTTATTTTCCCTGTTTAATAATAGCAATATAATTTTTGCTTATTTTATTATAATAAATTATAATTTTTTTTCTTTTATTACCTACTATTTACAATAATATAAGTTTTGAACTTATTTTCAGGTTTGCATATCATCCATTAGCCAAACGGATTGTATAAGTCCATTGAAACATGCAATGCAATCTAGAAAAGATATGATTGCTATTGTTTGTGAAACGTTAAATAGGTTGTTTTTAACAAACGAGGATCGCCTTATTAAACAAGTAAATGCTTTTTCTTCTTGATACATACATGTATATTGTATTTTTTAGTTTTAATTCTTTGGCAGATTTTTATCTAGTATAAAATAATTAATTTTGAATTAAGAGAGTTAAGGGCATCCGGGAAATAATACTGGTTTCGTGATAGATGTCTCATTTAAAAATAAAAGAATATTTTGAGTCGGGATTTTTTGGTAAATATAGAGAAATGCTCTGGGACCAGCGGTCCTCTCGGAATTTAGAGAAATTTTGATAAATAATTATTGAAAAAAATTGTTTAAATATACGGAAAAAGGGGTTTTGAACGGTTCAGTATAGACGTCTCATTTTGAGAGAATAAAATATTTCGAGTTCATATTTGGAGGGGTGATAGAGGAAGACTCTCCGAGGAGCGGCCCTTTCCGTTTTTGCAATAATTTTGCGAGGAAATTATTTTATTAACGATTGAAAGTGGAATAATTTGAGATTAATACATTTCCTTAGTTCAAGTCGCGACCACTTCCGAGAATTGGCGCCACCTCCTTGACCACTGACACATAGATCCACTTGTCTGTGTGCTCGCCGCCATATTGTCCGAAACTTTCGCCAAAAATACAACTTTTGTAATTTCGTTTTTCAATATTTATTTCAAAAATTACTTGCAATTTTCGAGAATATTCTTTATCATCATGAATTACCCTAATTATCATGATAAATCGGAACTAAATATCTCTAATTATTTAGGAGTGAGACGACACGCGGGAAAACACTTTTTGGGCTTGATTTTTCCCGGATGCCCTTAAGCAACATTTTTGCAAGTAAAAATATTCTAATGATTCCGAATTATGATACTGGAAAGTGATGATGTTCATAAAAATGCCGTATTTCTTTATTTTTATTAAATAGTAATATGTAATTATAATTTTTAGTAACAGTAAAATATATTTTTAGGCTTTAGAAGCAGATATGGTACCTTATCTTTTAAATATATTGGAAGGAAAAACAGAAATATTTGAGAATGTTGCCACCACAAGAGCGCAAATTGTTAAAGCTTTGAAAGCAATGGCCCAAAATTTTTTGTTGGGGGAGAAAGTCAATGAAATTCTTGAAAAATCTCCTGTTTGGGCAGAATACAAAGACCAGAGACACGATTTATTTATATCAAGTGGACCAACATTGTGCTATCTTCCAGGTAATAAATTAATATTATACAAGACTACATCAATTTTATATAAGGGTTAGATTTTCTCAAGTGGACCTTAAATTTTCAAAAGTTGAAATTTATCCGTGTAAATGTGCAAAAAGATAGTTCTACTAGAGTTACGAATAACCTGTAAATTTCATTAAAAAATATTCAATTGTTTATTTTTTATAAAAAATTGAAATTTTATGCATAGCATTTTTAAAAAATGCATAAATTTGACAAAAATTGACGAAACTTGATGATTCTTTTTGCAAATTAACTATGAAATTCCAAACTTTATAAAAATAATAATTTTTACTCCATCGAAACTTTTAATTTGTTATAAAAAATAATTATTTATTATAAACAAATTAAAAATAAAACGTGTTCTGGATAATCATATTCAATTTTATAAATAAGAACTTGAAGAGAATTTATTAAGGATTGCATATCAAAAAGAAAAAATTGTTTCAAGCAAATATTTTATTAATTATGAATTTTTTAAAAATATTTTTTAATGAAATTTACAGGTTATTCGTAACTCTAGTAGAACTATCTTTTTGCACATTTACACGGATAAATTTCAACTTTTGAAAATTTAAGGTCCACTTGAGAAAATCTAACCCATAATAAATGCGACATAGGTAGTGTATTCAAAAATTTTGTAACATTTTTAAAAATTTTGTGTTGAACACAAATTCTGAGAACAACCTTTTTTATCAGGTTAAGCTTTCGAAAAATTATAACAATTAAAAATAGTGATTTTTTAATTTTTGAAACAAACAATCCTTCAATTAAGAAACTCGATACTTTTATAAAACTTAATTTCTTCACACAATAATTAAAAATGTTATACATAATAATAATTCTTGTACTTGTAATTCTTGCGTGAACTGATGAAAAGTAAATTAGCAATTTATTTATTGTACTAATTTTTGTGTGTTTAAATTAGCTGGAACACCGATGTCTGCCGGTTATCTTACAGCAGGACCAAGTGCAGCAATACCATCTGGCCCACCACCTGTTGAAAAAGAAGATAATTCACTAAATCGTAACGATTTTTGACATGTCTGATTCAAAAAGTGATGAGGATTAACTACGTTTATCTTGTAAAGAAAATTTGAAATTGTTTTTTACCGTGATGTTATAAATATTAATTTACTCTAACATTCATTGTATTATGGGTTCGTTATTGAAATCTTGAAGTAGAGAGCTTTTATTTAATTGTACATTGAAACTTTCATGTCAAATAATCTCATATTTTACCCTTTTTATAATAAAAAAGTTAACATATTTTTTACCGTTTTTGAACTCTTATTCCTGTAAGGGACCGTCCATAAATTACGTAAGGCATTTTTCTTACATTTTGACCCATGCATCCACGTCTGTAAGGCTCCGTAAGATTTTGAACACCCCCCCCCCCCCCTATCTTACGTAAGTTTTTGCTTAGGTATTTTTTACGAGAATTTACTAGTAGCATTGCAAAAAATTGTTCATAAAATGAATTAATAAACAAATGTTTGGTGTTTAGTTCTGTATTTCTTAGAATATACTTAATTTATATAAAATTTATTAAACATATTTTCCTTTGGTCAAAATAATAAATATTAATGCAGAAATTTAGCTTAATATTAACATCTTTGGTATTGGGACAAAAATTGTCCACCCACCCCCCCCCACCCAAATGACCTTACGTAATTTATGGACGGCCCCTAACAGCACGAAGAAACATTAAATACCACTACTTCACATGGTCTCAAAATTTTAATATGTTACTATTACATTCTATGGAAAACTGACTTACGTTATACAGGCTTCGCACTCATATACTAAAAGTTACTATTTACGACTTTTTTTACAATTTGTTACTATTTTGATACTTTTTTCAGATTTCCAACACTAAAAGCTACTTTTTTTCTTTCTTTTTTTCACAAATTCCATTAGTTTAAATCCAACAATAATTGAAATAAAGAAATTATTTTCAAAATTTTAATAGAATTCTTAGAAACACTTTAAATAATTTTAATAAAATTCTTTAAAACGATTCAATTATTTTCAAAAATTTTAAGAAAATTTTTTTAGCAAGAATTCAATTATTTTTCTAAATAACGAAATTCTTTGCTAAAATTCAATTATTTTTACAATCTATTATTTTAATAAAATTTTCCAAAAAGATTCAATTATTTAAAAAAATTTTTAATAAAATTCCTTGCAAAAACTCTAATTATTTTCATAAATAATACCATTTTAACAGATTTCCAATTATTTAAAATACAATTTTCATTCAATTTTTTGAAAATTTTAAATAAATTCACTTAAAAAATGCAATTATTCTTAAATTTTATTTTCAATTATTTTTTAAAATTTTGATAAAATACTATATATAGAAATTCAAGTTTATAAAATAATGAATTATTTAATTCATTATTTCTTTTTGTATTTAAATAATTGAATTTTCATAGAATTTTCTAACAAGAATTTATTTAAAAATGAATTTCAGTTCAAGTTTTAGAATTTACACTAATACTTTAAGTCCACTAATAATTGAAATAATTAAATTCTTCTCCGAATTCCAATTATTTCCAGAAATTTTAATAAAATTCTTAGCAAAATTTTAATTATTATTTTAAAAAAATTTTCTCAATTCATTGATTCTTAATAGGTATCTACTATTTAATAAAAATTTTCCAAAAGAAATCAATTATTTAAAAAAATATTAATAAAATTCTATGCAAACATTCAATTGTTTTCATAAAATAATAGAAATTGCACAGGAATTCAATTATTTACAAATTTTTTATAAATTACTTCTAAATATTTCAATTATTTTCATAAATAATAAAATTTTTATAAGGATTCAATTATTAACGTAAATAAAATTCTTTTTAGGAATTCAATTATTTTCATAAAAAATAATAAAACTCATTGCAGAATTTCAATTATTTTTATTACAATTTTAATGGACTTTCTCGACCAGTGTAATTATTCTTAAAACTTTTATTAAAATTCGTCAAAAGAATTCAATTATCTAAAAATTTGTTGATAAAACTCTTTATGAGAATTCAATTATTAAATAAATTGTTTTTTATTATTATTTAAGTAATTAAATTCTATTAGAAGCGTTATAATACGAAATTTATAGAAATAATTAAATTTTAACAGATTTTTAAATAGTTTGTCTTTGAAAATTTTGATTTTTATAAAACTGTAATAATATTCAAATATTTAACATAACAAATTAATTATTTATTATTTTCCAAAAGTCAAGGAAATACTGAATGCAATTTTTGTGAATCGTTTGAAACGAGTTTTTTTAATCGTCAAATTTAATTTTTCGATAGCTACTTTTTACTACTTTCTTCAGTATTAAAGCTACTTTTTTAAAAGTAATTATCGAGTGCGAAGCCTGGTTATAGAAATAACTGTTGAGACTATCAAATTTCACGCATTTAGTATACCTTTTACGGTTCTTCTTAACGTGACTAACAAAAATTGGTATGTTTTTTAATAAAAGAAGAGAATAATTTTTAAAATGTTAGAAAGCTATAAATTTCTATAAAAAGCAACATCAGAAAATAATGTCTATAACAGACTCATAGATACTACAGCGATATTTGGAGCTAATGGTTGAAGAAATTTATAAGGAATTTCACTGTAATTATATAGGTATACATAAACATATCTTAAATATTATTATATTTCGTTAACATTCGTTAAATCTAACGCAACCCTTCCTGATTGTGTGAACCACATTCGGTACCCGTTCGGTTCCAGGTGGAAAATCTCAATAAAAACGCGTAAAATGGTTTAAAAAAATTATTCAAGTTATTAAATTATTATTTCAAGAGATGCAATATTTGAGATGAAGTATGTTGTAAATAATTAGATATTAATATGTTTTGTGTAAAGTGCTCACCTGTCAGTTTAACAGGGATGTGGAATTTTGTTAAATTTTAAACCCAGTATATAAAATGTTCTAAAAATATTCTTCCAAAAAGGATATAGATTTTTAAATATCTAAAGTGCTAAACTGTCACTTCAGATATTTCAATCATATTGACAACAACAACAGTAAAATTTGTAATACACTTTTTATCCACTGTAAAATATAATGTATCATTTCACAGAACAAATTAAGGTACATATATTCATTATTCTTTAATTATAGCAGACTTAGTAGGAACGCTATGAAATCGATTTTTTGAGACAGATTTACTTCTCTTTTTCGTCGATATTCACTAGATTTTTAATTTGTAATAAAACTATATACCTACTAGCTCATGTAAGTTTGTGAATACAGGTTGCGGTGTGCAACATTAGTTTTTAAGAGTACTTTTGTACGAATGGGCAAGTCCCGTATATGTTGAATAAATAAATAGATAATATGACATTTTCGACAAAAGTTGGATGAAAAAATTGCCATGTGCTATAAGCTATAAACGAGACATGTCAGTGACCAGTGATGCCACTATGTGGATTACCCAGGGTGTTTTCGACGTTGACACTCTGAGCGCTCTGAAAGTACGAAACGTGGTTGGTTGGGCTAGGGGAATTCTGAATGTTGATTGGCTGAACTTCAAAATTCATAGTTTTATGCTCTGGTTTCCACACTCTGTATCGCTCGGACCTTTGATACCGAGCGATACAGAGTGTGGAAACCAGAGCATAAAACTATGAATTTTGAAGTTCAGCCAATCAACATTCAGAATTCCCCTAGCCCAACCAACCACGTTTCGTACTTTCAGAGCGCTCAGAGTGTCAACGTCGAAAACACCCCCAGTAATGTGGGGAATTTGAGTACATTAAAATTTAAATGAAGGTAAATCCCACTAGTGTCTTCAAATAATAGTAACTCCTTGATTTTTGTAACATTATTTTAATAACAATAAAAGGGGTCATCCATAAAGAATATGATACTTAATTTTGGAAATTTTAACCCCCCTCATGCCTTTTCCATTAATGAGTAACATGGAGCATGATATTTCACGGACCCTCCCTAACCCCCTAAAGTATCACATATGCTTTATGGACGCCCCCGAAATAAATAGAAATATTAATGATAAATGAGTGATCAAATGTGACTAATTGCCGGTAAGTATACAACAAATGTTAACGAAATAAATGCATCAAATTTAATTTATAAACGATAATGGCGAAGGTATAGTCAGATAAAAGTCTAATTTTGTAAAATAAAAATTAATTTAAATAAATAATAAAAATTTTTTGTTTAGCTGCGCAATCTATCATAAAATGAAAATTTTTTTAAAATACTTTAAAGTATATTGTAATCATTATTGTAAAATCAAATTAAAATGTGACTTGGTGACTTTAATTTATTCACGGTTATAAAAAGTATATAGCAATATTCAATAATAAAATAAATAATTAAATTTGAAATTTTTTGATTTTTCGAATTTTTTAAAAAAGTTTGATTTCTTCTGTTCCATCCATTCCGCTGTTCAGAATTAAGGTACTGCCACAGCTCGCTGCTGCCTGCGCAGGCAGCTGAGATACAATGAGAGTAAAGGCGCTAGCACAGCTCCTACTGCCTGCCTGCAGGTTGACATGGTAACACATAAGAGTAAGAGAGTCAGAAAATTCAAATTAAATGTTTTTTCTCTCTCACTCTTATGGCGCCTGCCTGCGCAGGCAGGCAGGCAGTGAGGTGAGAGTGTACCTTAAGGGAGAAAGAAAATTCAAATTCATGATTTTTCTCCCTCACTCTCATTGTATCTCAGCTGCCTGCGCAGGCAGCAGCGAGCTGTGGCAGTGTCTTTAAGGTACTCGCACAGCCCTGCATGCGAGTTTTGTGTGTCACAAATACATTTGTCAAAGGTGGTCAGAAAAGCGTTAATCCGTTTCGTAAATTAAAGGCGCTTGTATACCTCCACGTTTCTGAGTATATCAGAAACGTCCAGCGTTTTGATTGGCTTTTTTGGAAATTCTCTATGAGCACAGCCAATCAAAACGCTGGACGTTTCTGATATACAGTAGAACCCCGGTTATCCGAGCTCGCTTTATCCGAGGTCTCGATTATCCGAGGTGGCCTCAGAAGAGGATATACCGCTTTATCCGAGTATTGCGGCTGGCCTAGTCCGAGTTATCCGAGTTGCGACATTAAAAAAAGTTCAATAATATTTGAAAATTTTTTGTTATTTTAATAAATTACATAAGTTATTATGAAATATGAATATAAAAATCCCTTTCTCGTTTATATTAGAGACTTTTTTATAAATAAAATGTTAAATTACGTATATATTATAATAAAAGTCCGTTTTATCCGAGTTTTCGTTTTATCCGAGGTAGGTCCGCTCTCTAAATTTGAATCAGCGAAAAGTCGCTGATTCACCAGCCCAGAGTATGCAGCTGATTCAATCAGCGTATATACACTGATGAAACAGCGTATATGCACTGATTTTCCAGCGTATATACGCTGTTTCATCAGCTGCATACTCTGGGCTGGTGAATCAGCGACTTTTCGCTGATTCAAATTTAGAGAGCGGTCCACATTAGCTCGGATAATCGGGGTTCTACTGTACTCAGAAACGTGGAGGTATACAAGCGCCTTAACTCCGTTAATTTTTTCGTTAAGGGCATTTGAACCATTATGACGTCACAGTTTGTCCAAAGCATTTGTTCTAAATATGTGACGTCATAATGGTTCAAATTCCCTTAACGATTTGACTTTTGAGTCTTTCCATTATATTTCGACTAAAGTCGTTGCCGACTGATTTTAAAAAATTGTAATATTTTGCAGGAATGATTTTAAAGATATTAGGATCACCGAACAAAACGAATTTTTAAAATATTTTTGATATTTATTGTAAAATAAGCATTTAAAGTATATGAAGTCGTAAAAACTGTCACATTTTCATCTATTAGAAAATATTAAAGAAAACACATAAATTACTATAAAAATGTAAAAAAAATTATCAGAATTTATTAAGAACGAATTATTTTATTATTATAAATTGGTAGAAACAATTATTAATAAGAAATATTAAATAAAAAATGATCTTAAAGTTCACCTGGCAAATAACCTATTTTTGCAAATTTCATTCACTAAATGTGAGAAAGATGAAATCATTAAATTGAATAAAACCTAAAACCTTATGAAATATAAAGTACCTACTGTGATTAACTTTTAGTTTTTCTTATCACTTTCTACCTTTTTTCTTCATAAATATTAAAAAATAAATCATTAAAACTGGCACTTTGCCCATTTTCATGATTTTAAAATGTAAATAACTTCTGCCCATAGATACAAACACTGGAAAAAGATTTTCTTTGGTCCCGAAGCTATTTTTCGAAATAATTAATTTTAAACTTTTCACTATTTCTATCAGGTTAACACATGTGATTTTTTTAAAACTGAAGTTGGTTCAAAATGATTAAACAAGAAGAGCTAACTTCGTCCTCAGAAAACACATGTATTAACCTGACAAAAATATTAAAATGTTTAAAGTTTTAATTAATTCGGAAAATATCTTCGGGACCAAAGAAAATCTTTTTCCAGTGTTTGTATCTAGTGATCAATTAATTATTGCCCAATTTTCGTAATTTTTCATTTTTCTGGGCAGAAGTTATTTACATTTTATAAAATCGTGAAAATAAGAAAAGTGCCAGTTTTAATGATTTATTTTTTAACATTTATGAAGAAAAAAGGAAGAAAGTGATAAGAAAAACTAAAAGTTAATCACAGGTACTTTATATTTCATAAGGTTTTAGGTTTTATTCAATTTAATGATTTCATCTTTCTCACATTTAGTGAATGAAATTTGCAAAAATAGGTTATTTGCCAGGTGAACTTTAAGATCATTTTTTATTTAATATTTCTTATTAATAATTGTTTCTACCAATTTATAATAATAAAATAATTCGTTCTTAATAAATTCTGATAATTTTTTTTACATTTTTATAGTAATTTATGTGTTTTTTTTAATATTTTCTAATAGATGAAAATGTGACAGTTTTTACGACTTCATATATACTTTAGATGCTTATTTTACAATAAATATCAAAAATATTTAAAGAATTCGTTTTGTTCGGTGATCCTAATATCTTTAAAATCATTCCTGCAAAATATTACAATTTTTTAAAATTAGTCGGCAACGACTTTAGTCGAAATATAATGGAATGACTCTTTTAAGTTAATTTTAAAAACAGTTAACGAACTTGTTAACTTCCGTTACATTTCTCTTTCGTTAACTAATGGAGCACTCACAGCTCTGCCTGCCTGCGCAGGCAGTAATTGGAGTAAGAGAGAAAGTCAATTAGAGTGAAAGAGACAGTAAATTCAAATTTGTATTGCTGCCTACTAGCTGTGAGTGCGCCTTAAGGTCCGTAAAATTTCTTTTTTTTGAAATTTTTAATTATCCTACTAAAAATAAAGTCACAAAGCGACAGAAATTTAGTCAGAATCTCTGATGATTTTAGACTGCTTTTGTTACACTGAGAGAAATGAATGGTTAGAGCAACTACTTTTTTATTAGTAAAAGCAAAATTTATTCTCCCGTCTATTTAGTTAGTAAAATCTAGTAATTTTACCAGTAAGTTTTAATATTCTGCATGTCAAACGTAACTATTTAGAATTAGTAATATGCATCCACATAAATAGTTGGCTTTACCATTTTTGTTAGTAAACAAGAAAAAAAATGTCGGCTTGACATATGACGCATAACTTAGTGTTGTCCTACTCTTAGTGCATTTGTTAAAGTTTAATGTGATTATTTGTTTCTAACTTTTTGTTATTTTTGTGATAAGAAGAATATCGAGTGTGTGGAAACTGATGAAACTGTCAGAAGAGATATCGAGAGTCGAAGAATGTAAAGGACGTGTAATAAGTGCAACTTGTGAATATTTTGTATACTCGAAGAAAGAGTACAGTGTTATTTTTGTAAGGATAACGATAATTACTTTTCTAATATTATTCGCACATTAAAAAATATGTTTATCATGTCTTTTTAGTGTGCGAATATTATTAGATAAATAATTGTTGTTATATATTTATTTATTGTAAAATGAACTAAGTAAATATACCTATTAGAATTTTTATTAGTGGTTCCTACTAACTAAAATAGTTGTCTTTACTAATAGAAAATGGTAAATCTTTTACTATTTAAAAATTGTATCTCCAACTATCCAATTAGCAGCAGTATAGTTTACTAACCAAAATGGTATTCGTAAACATTTTATTGGTTGCGATAACTACTCTGTTCTCTCAGTGTATGATTGCAGCCACAGAACATCAGACTTGAGTCATGTTTAATCAGAAAAATTCAAAAGTAGTCAGGTTTTTTATACAAATTTAAAGGCGCTAGCACAGCTCCTACTGCCTGCCTGCCTGCAGGTTGACATGGTAACACATAAGAGTAAGAGAGTCAGAAAATTCAAATTAAATGTTTTTTCTCTCTCACTCTTATGGCGCCTGCCTGCGCAGGCAGGCAGGCAGTGAGGTGAGAGTGTACCTTAAAGCTGCGGTTACACCTCTGCAGGCTGCCTGCCTGCGCAGGCAGGAGCAACGAGAGTAAGGGAGAAGTTTGAAGTCACTGACTCTCTTACTCTTGTACGTTACCATGACAAGGCAGGCAGGCTGCCTGCAGAGGTGTAACCGCAGCCGAAGTCGACACCCTCTTTCACCTGGAAAAAGGTCAACGCCCATTGTAGAACCGACCTAAGGTTGAGTCCACAATAGGACAAAAGAAAATTGTTGTAGAATCAGCATTAACCCTTTTAACGCACGTATATGTAAATCATGTAATTCCTCACGTAACAATGAAAATGATCGCAGAGACATCTAGCGGATTCTTGCTCTTTTTTTTGATATCGGGACGACATTCGTTCGCAAGTGTCTTGGTGATTTTAAAAGATTAAAAATATGGCTTGTTCTGTAGTGCGGAGTCCTATTTTACGAAATCCTTCGGTGAGAAAAGTATTTAATAATCAATTAATGCATATTCCAGTTTCACGACATTTTTTTCAAGTGCTTTTAATAATTTATTCCCAAGATTTGTGTGTCTCGCCAAGTGTTATGTAAAACCCTGCCCTATAAATTTGAAATTTACTCTAGTATGTATAATAGTGCCAAATAATCTTAATAATCAATTAGTGAAAAAAATATAATTTTACTTTAAAATTATTTATTAATTTTCATTTTGTATAATTGATAACATATTCATTTAAACTTGTTAAAATGTCAATAGTTGCTTTCAATTTGTCATATTAAATATCCAAAGTCATAAATTCAATGAAAGTATGTATTAAATTATTGTATTTAGAAAACTGTTATGCAAATTTCAACAAGGTTTTTATTTTCTTCTTATGTTTAATATAGTAGTGAATGAACAATTGTAAACAGAAAAGAAATATCACTTTTACTTCTAACCTCAAATCTCTAATTGTTAATGATCAGTATTAAGTTTAAGTTCTGTCATTTTAACTTCTTTAGGTTCTTTAGTTATGAAAGAATGTAAAATTTATGTTTAGGTATTTTTTCTTGTTAATTTATTAAAATTATTGCTTATATGATATATAAATTTAGGTTCGCCATTATGCACTTGCAGCAGCGGCTCAAGCTGCTGTACCATCTCCAGATGTTCAAGTTTTAGGAAATAAAATCACTGTTGCTGCTGTTGACTCGAATAGCCCTGTAACACAAATATCTATTGTTTTCAAGTATGTATCAAACTGAATATTCTCATTCTTCTTCTTATATGACTTTTTGTACAATATACAAGGTGTCAGAACATTAGTATTCTGATTATAGAAGTTCTATTATTATTTTCGCCATAGAGCACAGTTGCATGTGAAACGATCAAGTAAAAATTTTAATTTTCTAGGATTGACTGTGAAATTGTAATTCATTTTATTTTTAAGTAAGCTCAAATTTAGTTAATCTAAATTTAAATTTATACAAACTTCCAACAGTATAAATTTCAAATTCTATTCTTAATCAATCTCAAATTCAAACACTTTGAACTTTAAGTTATGTGTTTTTTTACTTATACTTATGTTTTACGAACAATCTAGCAAAACCAAAAATATTTCTATAGTTTTTTTTATTAATCAATCTTTTACGTCCGAGAAATATTAATTATAGATGAAGGAAAATAAACAAAAACATTCGGACAATTAATTTTAAAAAAATTGGTTTACTCCAACTTTACCCTTCAAACGTCAGAGAAAACAGATTTTAGAGTCATAACTAAAATAAATGAGAATCGAAATTATAAATAAATAATTATAGAATGAATAAAATAAATTATTAAAATTTGAAATTTACATTTTAGTTACAGTAATTAAAATAAATAAATTAAGTTGAGATTAACATACCTATAAAAGATTAGAAATTCAATTTTGTAATACGTAAATAAACATTAATTAACACTAATAAACATAGACATTATGATGACACACAACATTGACATTATAATAACACACAACAGAATTGTTAAAAATGTACTTAGGGGAGAGTGGGGCAAACCGGACCCCCTAACGGTTTTTTGACTCTTGTGACTAAACGAATCAACCGATTTCATTTTCGATGGCTTGTTTGAAAGATCATTTAATTGCGCAACTTTTTCCCAGAGCCACCTATATTTTATCTTTTATTGTTTAGTTGCTGTGTTAACTTTAAAACAAAACTTTTGCTCCCTTCGTCGCACAAACGCAAGCTAAAACTGTCAGATTGAAAAAATAAGGCATACTAAACATGGTTGTTTTAAATTTGTAAACAACACTTTTTCCAATTTCGCCAATTCGGAAATATTGAGAGGGGTCCGGTTTGCCCCACTCTCCCCTAAATAAATTAAAATAAAATAAAACTCTGCGTGTGAAGTTAAAATTAAAACTGAACTCCAAACACTATCGATTCTGTACATCAGTTATTATAACAAATAAGAACAAAGAATTTTTTAATTTTTTTTTAAATTGGGTTCATTTATAAAAATAATTAATAATTATAAATAAATAATACAATTTTTAATATTCTATTATCAGAAAAATTTTTTATTGGATTTATAAAAAAAAATATTGTCTTCTTTATCCGCTTGCAAAAGCACGCATTAAAAATTTTAAAAAATTATCTTGCTACAAGAAGGTACATGTAATAATGTCAGGACCGTAAAAAGTGATTTTTTGTTATATAATAATTTAAGATTTCAAGGTTGTCTGTCTGATAAATTGATATCTTTACTGTTATTGTTGCAAGTTTTGTTTTGAAACTGAAAATAATAATGTAAAATTCTTACAATTAAAAAAAAGTTAACATTTTTTTTTAAATAAATGAAAGGACAGAAATTTTTAAACAAAAAGCCGAAAAAGAAAACAGGACACGGTGAGTCTCGATAAAGTTCAACCCAAAAGTCTTTCCACTAAAAAATTTTTTACAGATATTTGTTCACACGTGAAATTAGAATATTTTTCGCCTAAAATGAAAATCATCTGTCGAGGGTTTTTAAAATGAACTCGATTTTTCTCGTTTTTTTGTAGGTTAATTGCTGTTATTTCATTAAAAATTGAAATATTAAATTTTTTTTTTATTTCTCTCCTTTAAAGTCTCATGAACAATTTCCCATAGATGAAGATTTATTTTTGTTATTAATTGTGTTTTAAAAAAATTCTCAAAAAATCTTGTTTCTTTGCGATTTTTGGGTTATTTCTTAAAATTTTAAGATTTAAAATTTTTAATCTTCATCTATGGGAAACTGTCCACAAGACCTTAAAGGAGAGAAATAAAAAAAATAAATTTAATATTTCAATTTTTAATGAAATAACAGCAATAAACCTACAAAAAAACAAGAAAAATCGAGTTCATTTTAAAAACCCTCGACAGATGATTTTCATTTTAGGCGAAAAATATTCTAATTTCACGTGTGAACAAATATCTGTAAAAAATTTTTTAGTGGAAAGACTTTTGGGTTGAACTTTATCGAGACTCACCGTGAGGAATGAAAAAGCAGATTATTTATTTCAAAACAAAGGCTTCACAGTCTGTCCCCTATTTCCCTAAAAGTCCCCTTCTTTTAATTTTGGCCCCTAAACGTACCCTATTTTGAAAATTTCCCCTCCCAAGTGCGAAAACCAACGCGGCCCAACACTGGCCCAGTATTGGCAAAGCTGGCATCGAGACTTGGCAGACAATATTGGCCCGACTTTGCGCCGACTCTTGTGGTGTTAACCGCGGTTGGACGTCGGCAGCCAGATCTCGGCAGACATTAATGGCCCAATATTGGCAGCCAGATCTCGGCAGACATTAATGGCCCATTATTGGCAGCTAGATCTCAGCAGACATTAATGGCCCAGTATAGGCTGCCATTACTCCCCCCGTGTAGACAAAATTAGAAAAAAATAAAAATAAATTTTTTTTTATTTAATTAACTAATTAATTTATAACATTTATACGGCTTATTTCCCTAAATTAAACGCAAACTTACAAATATTTGAAAAATTCTTACCTCTCGCGGGGATCGATACCTGAACCTGACGCTCCACAGCCTAACACTCTGACCACTCTGCTACTCTGACTTGAAGTCGAAGAAGCAAAAGGGTTCTTATAAGCTACACTACACTGGCCGATACTGTGCCATTATTGGGCCGAGCTACGTCCCAATTTTGGCAATTATAATTTGCCATCATAGATACAAAATGATAGACATTAATGTGCTATTCCTGGGCCAAGCTACACCCCAATACTGGCAATTATAATTTGCCATGAAAGATACAAATTTGTTGCCATTAAAGTGCCAATAATGTGCTATAATGTCCGATCTTTGTGACATCACTGGCAATTAAATTTTGCCATTAAAGATTGATCAACTTTGCCAATATTGTGCCGTTATTGAGCCAAGCTACTCCCCAATACTGGTAATTATAATTTGCCATGAACGATACAAATTTTTTGCCATTAAAGTGCCATTAATGTGCCTTTAATGGGCCAATCTTCGTCACATCATTGGCAATTGAATTTCAAAAAATTTTAATATCAAAATTCATGGCATATTTTTAATATTTAATTATTATCTAAAAATTTGACTAGAATCCATTTTGAAATCAATTTTTACTAGAAAATTCTACAAGAATTTAATTATTTAAATGCAAAAATAAATAATTTATTGAATAACTAAATGTTTCTTAAAATTGAATTATGAGAATTAAATTTTAAAAAACATTCATTTATTCAATAAATTTTCTTAAGGAAATAATTTGCATCATTTTTATTTCTTAATTACAATTGCTTTAAGAAAAATTCAAAGATTTTTAAAAAATAAAGGAAAAAAATGTTTATAAATTCTATTTGTCAATTGCAAATATTAATTGAAAGTGAAATTGAAAATTTCTTAATTTTTAGATAATAAAGGAAAAATTTTACTCAAAAAAAGGTTTCTGTTACATTTATTTACGAATTTCTTTAATTGTAAAATTATTTGAAAACATTAATAACTTCTTTTTTAAATTAATACTTAATTAAACTTTTTCAAAAAAATTAATTCTTTAAAATTGACAGTTAAAAATATAGAAAATTCAAAGTTTCAAATATTTTAATTTGAATCCTTTTCAAGCTTATTCAATTATTTAAATACAAAATAAATAATTTATTGAATAACTTAATGTTTCTTAAAATTAAATTCTTATAAAAAATTTTACCAAATTAAAATGCCATTAATGTACCTTTAATGGGCCGATCTTCGTCACATTACTGTCAATTGTCTTTTGCCATTAAAGATTGATCAACTTTGCCGTGAATGTGCCGTTATTGGGCCAAGCTACGCCCCAATACTGGCAATTATAATTTGCCATCAAAGATACAAAATGTTTGCCATTAAAGTGCCACTAATGTGCCATTAATGGTCCGATCTTCGTGACATCACTAGCAATTGAATTTTGCCATTAAAGATTGATCAACTTTGCCAATATTGTGCCGTTATTGAGCCAAGCTACTCCCCAATACTGGTAATTATAATTTGCCATGAACGATACAAATTTTTTGCCATTAAAGTGCCAATAATGAGCCATTACTGGGCCGATGGTCGGCGCATCACTGGCAATTGTCTTTTGCCATTAAACATTGATAAACTTTGCCATGAATGTGCACTGAGAGAAACGGATAGTCAGATTTTGATGTTAAAAAGATGATGTTACACGATACTATCATTATGCTACTGCCAACCATCACAGATGCTAAAAAAAATATAGTTATGCTACCCCGTACTACCAAGATGTTACTCCTGATGATATTGATGGTAACGGTGACTATCTAGATAGCTGTCTGTATACGTACACTGTAAAAAAGCCCAATGTAAATTTACAACGTGTAACGTTGGAAACTTTTCGCTTCACGTATGACGTAGTACTATTACAGCCCGAATGTTAACTTACTTACCGTTCGTAACATAACCTCTCTTATGTGATTTCGCATCAAATTGTAAATCGACCACTCGTCGGTAATTTTACATAATAATTTCGCGGCATTTTTAAATTATTCTTTTTTTATATTTATTTTGTATTACATAAAGGTTAAATTAAAAAGGAAATAGAAGACAAATGTAAGAAATAAATAAATATATTAAATATTTATAATATACGAATCACATTTATTATTTATTATTAATAATAATATATATATTATTTTATTTATTTATTTATGATTTTTTATTTTTATATTTATTATTATTTATTATTTATTTATTTATTTATTATTTATTTATTTTTTTTATTTATTATTATTATTATCACATTTATTTTTACAGAAACATGCAGTCTTTAAATATCACAAGTATCCACCCATGCAAAAAGCAAAAAAAAAAAATATATTGGTGTAGCGTTGTACCGTATTATGCAGCATTTTCTTCTTCTTCTTCTTCTTCTTCTTCAATTTCTTCTTGTACTTCTTCTACTCCTCCTTCCTCTGCATTTATTATGTGGATACTTTTAATTTTATTATAAAAAGAAATGACCTTCCTTAAAGAATGTGAAGGTGATTTAGCCTTACTTTCGTTATCACTAAGTTTAACACTCAAGAATATTCTTTGGATGAAATCCATTGTTACAGAAATTGACTCAGGGAATTTTAGATTAAAAATAAATAAAGATGCGAAGAGGCTTTTAAACGCCGTAAGATATGTACAGTCTTCGAATACCACATTATTTTTTATGCAGAAGGACATTTTATTGGTGTTGTTTTGTACTGCAATCCAGCCGAATGCCTTTTCTGGCGGTTCTAATTGCTCGATCGGATCATTTTTCTATAAAAAAAAAACATTTATTAACTAATTCCTTTAATTAACTATAATTCCTTGTATAAACAAGGCATTATTTGTCTGAATTACATAACGTATTTATTAAAATTATTATAATTATATATATTAGAAAAAATTTAAGAAAATAAACAACCAATTTCAAAGAATATTTGGTTTATATTAATATATATTCTTTTAATGGAATTTTGTAATTAAAAAAATAGTACCTAACTGAAATAATGAGATATGTATTTTTCAATTTAATATTTTTAAGGATTATACTGATTGTATATTTTAAAAAAAATTTAGTTTCCAATAAAAGAAATTCTTACCTCATACACCCAACAAATTCGGGTTATGTCTTCATGAAAGTGTTTGGTAATTACGGTTAAGACGTTATCATATGTTATTTCACGATTGGAGCAAAAGTTTTTCTTTAATCCAAAACTGATAATTTGTTCTGAATACCTTTCCAATGCTTCATCCATCAAATCAATGTCATGGCCCATTAGAAGTTTGTAGTGCCAAAAAAAAAATTTTTCATTTAAAAGAATTGGCCAAGAGTCTTGAATGTCTTCATACGTAGGCGGGTGTAACAAATTGTTTAAAAATTTTCTTTGGTATGCAAATGACAGTACGAAATTTTTCTCCGCTTCTTCCATATTTGCCAGCATCTGTCTTTCATCAAGAACTTGATTTTGATTAAGTATCCAATTTCGTAAGAAAATCCTCTTTTGTTCAAAATTTTCTAAAGGTAGTTTTAAATCAGGCTGCCAATGCAAGCATCCAGCTCTGGCAATTTTAAGAGCCGCGAGACTTTTACAGTTAATTCCCAAATCCTTGGATAAGGTTGTGCCATTTTCTGGTCTATTTAAATTATTATTCCTGTTTAATAATTTGTGAGATAATGTGTGACAACCATTTCCCAACACTTGGTTATTCAACCTTTTATCCTGAAATGTTTTAGGATATTCTGCAACGATTTGTTGAGCCACAGTCTGAAATGCCCGTAGAGGAATGGATGTTTTTATGTTTCTCATTTGAAATACAATTTCGTTCACAAAGTAAGTTATCGTATGTTTTGTATTGTTGCCAGTTTTTAATTTATTGATGTATTCTGCTGAACAATAATCCCACTTAAATCGAAAGTCTCCCCATGGGTCGTCGGACGTACTCTCGACAGTATTGTTATCGGGATTTGGAACTTCATTTTCTTCGGGTACCGCAGGCTGCAAGTTTGAAGGCTGCAAGTTTGAAGGAGAAGACGAAGTAGAACGTTGTGTAGAAGGACGTTCATTAAATGGACCATTATTATTTTCATTATTCTCTGACAAAGATGGAGCTTTCCAAACTTCGTTTTGTTGAAGAAGCATAAATATTTCACCTTCCTGATACCACAAATCCAATGACTCGTCGTCATCCACTTCCGTCCCATCCTTATTTAAAACTATTGTCGTCCCATTAATATTTAACTTTTCGTTAGCTCGTATAAGGAAATTATTGAAAAGATTTGTCTCCGTCTTCACTATCACGGACTTTTTACTCCCTCTATCATGCGACCACACTTTAAAAATTTTAGGCATCTGCAACAAAGAATTTGTATACGTTAAAATTTGGTAATATTTATAACCCGGACTTCTTTTATCTAATTATTACATTTTATATATTTTTTTAATTATAATTATAATATTAAAATAATAATAATAATATTTATATTATTATTACTATTGTAGCTCTCTACACGGGAAAAGGAATTGTTAAATCTACTAGCGGATTGTTAATATAGAACTTGCAAATCTGATTTGTTGTTGCAACAATTTTTTTGTTCTTTGAACAAAATAATTGTTATCACAATTTCCAGTTGTTAGGAGAACCTAAAAACTGTTTCAACAACAAATCAGATTTGCTAGTTCTATATTAACAATCCGCTAGTAGATTTAACAATTCCTTTCTCTCCGTGTATATTTGAGGTTTAGATTAAGGAATCCTGTTTTTTATATTTTATATATTTTTTTATTGTTCATAGTTATAATTTTTTAAGATCAAAATTCTCGATTACTAAATTTACACTTACATGAGATTCTTAGAGTAGTGGATTCAGTGGCTCGTATTTAGGTACAATGACTGTAGTTCGTAAAAGGAGTATTTCTGGTAAAGGATCCGGAGATAACAAAGAGGAATAGGGAACAATGGATAAATTTGAATCATTTCCTTTTTTCTTAATTTCAAAGATACCGAGTTGATCATTTTCAACAATTTCATTTGTGAAACCAACGAAATAAAGTGTGTCACACCTTTTATTAAATAAAATATGTTTTATTTTCAAAACTCGAAAATTGCCCGTTTCACATACACCAACACAGAGACTCATATTTTCGCAATAATTTATACCGCGAAAAGAAATTTTTGATGCCACATAATAGAATGTATTGTTGGACTTCATAAAAGATTTTATTACTTCTGCAACAGACTTCTGAAAATTTTCTAAATTAAATTCTGCAGCATCAAATGCTTTTACTGAATCTTCATCGAATGTATGAAAACATGACATAATTTGGTGTTTTTCACTCAAAGTTTTTGTTACGTTTTTAAAATTTTCCGTATGCCTTATAAGGCTTTTAAAGAATTGATGTTTGCTCTCCCCTCTAAGTGTACAAACATGTTTTAATGGGCCAAACTCTTCTATTAAAGATGGGTAATGTGCTATGAAGTGGTGTTTTGGTCTAAGTGGCACCATTGGAAAGCATTCTATTCTTAAATTTAAATATTCATTAATTACACTTTGTAACAGAGCTACTTGACCAATCGAAAGTGCAGGAGCACACACAAGGCTACTAATTTTTCTCAAAAGTAGAACCATATTCCAAACTTTGTCCTCGGAATTTTTAATCGCATGTGCAATGGCTAATGGAAATATTAAAAGTAATTTTCTTACTTCAGTCGCAGTCCCGCTAATTTTATTTTTCTTAATATTAATAATAGGAACATTGTCTCCACTAGGATCTGTAGAAAGTTTAATATTTTGGATATGGAAATTTAAATAGCCGATTCTAAACCATCTTTTCTTTAAAAGATCTTTTACAATTAACATTAAATCATAGGGTACTATACCCTCATACAAATCGTGGGCTATGCACGGTGGCAAACCCGGGTTGCAGACGTGAAAATGTTTTAAACAATTTAACGGCGAGTTACCTGAGACACCTAAACATAATTTTTTAGTTTTTTCTGCATTTCTCGAACATACCGTATAACTCCATCGATTCCTTAAATCATTAATTGTGAAATCATTTGACAATAATGATTTTCTTGTGATATTGCAAAATCGACAAAAATATGTTGATTTACTAAAATTTTTCGTAAAGCAACCAATTTCACTACTTCCTAGATTGTCACCCAACACTGCTACTAAGGATGCAAAAATACGTTTTTCAACACCATCGACTGTAATAGGTATCCCCTCTGATTCTAAAAGCTGTAAGTCCGAGATTAATCTCTTTAAAAATATAGTCCATCCAAATTCGTTAACATACTTTTCTTTACAAAGAGCAACTAATTTCCAACTATCTGCTTTCGATCTTAAAAAGGGAGGTAAATTGCCTAAGTTCATATATATACCAACAAGTTTAAATTTCCCCTTTGATGAACCCAATGGATTACAAATTTCAAATGCATCCTGAAAAAGAATTATTTGCAGGGCACCATCTCTAAAAAACGGATTATTTTTTATTACTTTTCCATCTTTAATATCCGCGAAAACGTTATTATTGTTTGAAGTTAAAGGACCAAAACAGTATTTCCTTACATTTTCTTGGAGCAACATCATCTTTATTGTTTCTATTATAGGTACGTAATGATAGAATTTAGAATTTTCTGATAATGGAATCTGAATAGGTTCTACGAAAGAGAAATTATTTTCATAAAATTTTTTCCTACAGTGTGTGCTTCTTAAAACACTAGTTTCACTGTCATGAGCGATATTCCAAGATTTAAAACTATTTTTAAAGATGCTTAAAATATCTTTTTTCTCTGTTTCAGAAAAGTTGCTTCTTTCTATTTCCGCTTTGAATGCATTAGAACATGTTTGTACAAAACTAGATATACTTGAAATACTGGCCTGTAGAGAAACATCTGAAGTGAAATGTTTTGCACTCAAAAGCATGTATGTTTTTGCTAAATGTTTCGTACCATCGTTCACGTAATTTTTTTTTTCTTTACTTTGGTCTACCAAAATTGAATTATCATTTAACACCCCACCGCTATCTATTTTATTTATATTTGCATTATCATATAAATTGTCCGAATCAATAATTGAAAAGTCATTTTCTTCAAAAATTTCTTCAAAATTTACGTCAAATGCAGTTTCTTGAGTATTAATGACTCCATTATGAATTTTTCCTTTGTGACATCTATACAAATGAATTTTAAATGCATTCTTCGTAAAAAATGGTTTAGAAAATTTCGGACAATTTGGATGAGTGCAAGTAATAGTAGGACTCACTTTATTTATATGATTTAACAAATGTTTTTTTAAAACAGATTCACTGGTACTATAAAATTTGCAATTACTTTGTCGACAAAAAAATTTCATACTTAATAAAACACCTTGTTTTTCACTTATGCAGTGCATTCGATTACAATGATCTCTAAAATTTTTGTAATATATGAATGTTTTTTTGCAATTTTCGTATAAACAAACAAAAAGATTTTCAGAAACATTAGCATGACTCAATTGGTGTTTATTGTATAAATTAATTGCCGGCAATTGTAAATGACAAATATTACAAGTGAACATTGTTGAAATTGAATTGTAATTGAATAACGAAATGCAAAAAAAAATTGTTAGGATATGAGCAAACCTTGACAGAAAACCAAACGACCTGCAACAAAGAAAATACAATTGCATGAAGTCTTAAACTATGACTCCTTAGTATCGGTTACAAATTTTTTTATTTTACAAAAGATTCTCAACTTTCCAATGAAAATAATAAGAATTTAAAAAGAGTAGTTTTTGTGAAAATTAAAAAAAAAGTTTATTCTTTATAAAAAAGAGGGATTAGATAATTTTTTTCGTTAAAATTCCGGTAATAAAAAAGTAGCTTAAAATTGCTTTAAAATTAACTATATAAAAATTAAAATAGCTTTATTTTAAAACATTTTATTTGAAACTTCTTTTAAACAATTTAGTTAAAAATAATAAAAATACTACAAACTTATTAAAATTAATTTTAATTATTCATAAAATAGGACAATTTTTAACTTTTAAATAAATGGTATTCCCGAACTATTAAATTCTAATAAAAGCTTTACTTACCTGAACAGGAAAAAAAGATACGTATTTTAAAAAAATACGAGCTGCTTAAGCAATATATGAAGATATTCCATGAAGATATTCTGAAAAAATTTTTTATGTTTGAAAATTATTTTAAATAATTAGATATTTTTAATAAAATTTAATAAAATAAAGACACGTTTAAAAACGTGTCTCTTTTTAGGTTAAAAGACATTACCTTATTAACTTTGATAAATATGAAAAATTAAAAAGAAATCTTTCAAATTTAAGAAATGAAAAATGTTAAGAATTTGAACTTACCTTTACCAATTTCCTTTAATCGCAAAATTGTCGAAATTTTAATAAATTATTAAAATTAAAATATTAAGGTTTGCCTCGTGGGTTTGCCTATATGCGCATTGTCACGCAGTGTCACATTGTCACGCAGTGTAGAAAAACATTCGGGCAAAAAATATCATATTCGAATGTATACTTACAGACAGCTACGTAATTCTACATACTGTCGGTAAAACTATCAGCTGTAAGTTACTTAACACACGAAAATATTTTTACGGTTGGGTTGCTAACATACAACGATATACGTGAAGCGAAAAGTTTCCAATGTATCACGAAATGATTTAACATTCGGGATGTACATTTACTAACGCGTGACACATTTACAACGATAAGCGTAATAATTTTACTTTTTAATTGTGAAAATACTATATGGGTGTTAAATTATTACGTGTACCGTAGTAAAATTACAAACTGGAAAATTTAAAATTAACGACCCGATTGTAATTCAACATTGGTCTTTTTTACAGTGTAGCATTAAAGATGGTCACCCTAACCACAATTATGTTACCCACTACTATAAATTTCTCTCCGTGTGCTATTATTGGGCCGAGAGCTGGCCCAGTCTTAAAAAATTTGAAATTGTGACCATCAGCGCCATCATTGGCCCAGTAATGGGACGTTTTGGACACCAATAATGGCCCAGTAACTACTGCCAATTCTCGGCAGACATTACTGCACCAATGATGGGCCGTTTTTGCAGTCTTGGCATTTCGCACTTGGGCTATTTTTTCTTTTATCTTTTAATGATGAATTCACTCCAAATTTAGCAAAGTGCCGTTGAAAATTTCAATTCAAAACTTTTGTTTTGAAAGTTTCAAATCTTGAAATTTATGATCGATGAAATGTTTCATGAAATTTATTAGATTTGTAAGATTAGTATTTTGGTGAAGTCAAGTCTCAATTATGTTTAGAAGTTGGTTGTATTTTAAATTCTTATAATCTGCACAAACTTGTTATGACATACATTATTTTTAAAAGACAATATTCATCCCAAAAATTCAATTATTTTCAAAAGTAATAAAATTCATCCCAAAAATTCAATTATTTTCAAAAGTAATAAAATTCTTCGAAGAAATTGAATTATTTTAAAAAATTTTGACGAATATCTTGTCAAGAATTCAATTATCTTTATAAATAGCAAAATTTTTCGCCAAAAATTCAATTATTTTCAAAAATTTATAAAAATCTTTGCAAAAATTCAACTATGTACTTTCAAAAGTTTTTTGCATTTCAATAATTTTCAATATTTACTATTTTCATAGAATTTATCAACAGATTTAATTATTAAAAGAACTTTTTGATACAATTCTACGAAAAGATTCAATAATTACATATTTTCATAAATAATAAAATTTCATTTACGAATTCAATTTTCATCGCAAAATTTCAAATATTTTTAATACAATTTTAAATAAATTCCTTGAAAAATGCCATTATTATTAAAAATTTTATTAAAACTTGAGGAAAGAATTCAATTTTAAGAAACATTCATTTATTCAATAAAACAATAAAATTTGTTGCAATAATTCAAATATTTTCATAAATAACATTTAATTCGTCGCAGAAAATCAATTATTTTCAAAAATTTTTAAGTCATTTTGCAAAAGAATTCAATTAGCTTAATAAACAACAAAATCTCATAAATTCTTCCCATAAAATCAATTATTTTAAGGAATTTTAATAAAATTATTTTCCAAAATTCAATTATTTTGATAAATATCAAAATTCATCACAAGAATTCAATTCTTTTGAAAAGTAATAAAATACTTTGCAAAAATTAAATTATTTTCAAAATTTTTAAAAAATTCTCGTCAAGAACTAAATTATCTTTTTAAATAGATAGAGAAATTCTTCTCAAGAATTAAATTATTGTCAAAAATTTTTTAAAAATTCTTCTTAAAAATTTTAATAAAATTCTTCTCATGCATTCAATTGTTTTCAAAAATTATTATTTAAATTCTTCTCAGGAATTCAATTATTTCAAAAAAATTTAATAAAATTCTTCAAAAAATTTTCAATTATTTTCAAAAATTGTTATAAAATTAAAAAAATAAATTTCATTAAAATTTTAATTATATTCCTTAAAAAAATTAAATATTTTCAAAAGTTGTTAATACAATTCTTCGTAAAAATTAAATTTTAAGAAACATTCAATATTATTTATTTTTGTATTTAAATAATTGATTTCTCGTAGAATTAAATTATTATTTTTCTTACTTTTAGCTAACAATTCTGTAGAAATAATTTTTTTTTGAAAAAGTTTAATTGAATAATAATTGATGTTATTGATTTAAAGTAGAATTTTAGTTAAAAATTCTAGAAAATGTTAATTGAATTGAAATGATTCAAATAATTTTGAAGAAATTACAGTAACAATATTCTTATAATAATAAAATAATGATTTTGTCGGTCGGTCATCTTTATGTTTTATAATAATATTCTTACCTATGAGTTGTTCAATTTGAAAAGGTTTGAATTTGAAATTTTTGAACATCTTAATTCCAATGAAAAAAAAAATGATTAAATATTTATTTTAAATAAAACTATTGATGTTTTCGAATAATTTCACTCTTGAAGAAATTTGTAAATAAATTTAATAGAACTTTTTTTTGAGTATCTAATAATTTTTAGAGTGAATCAGAATATTCTTTAGGGTCAGGGAAAAAGTGAAAGTTGTGTTTGGAAATCAGGGAAAAGTCAGGGAAAAATGAAGTTAAATTTTTGTGGCAACCCTGTATAAATATTAAATAAATTATATTTTTATCTTTATTTAACCAATTTTTATGGTCGCCTAAAAGTCCCCTATTTTTTAATTTTCAGTCCCCTATTTCCCCTAAAATACTTTTTAGGGGCACTGTGAAGCCTGAAAACATACACGGGTTCACAAAACAAACCCTTTCGTACATAAGTACTGAGGTAGAGGTAAAAAAAATATCATTTAAAAACTAAAATTCACACACATTATGTGAAATTTTGAAATTCAAATAAATTTAAATAAATCATTTAATTAGTAATTGATTACAATTAATAATATAATTAATTAATTTTTATTAAAATATTTAATTTTAATTTAATGTAATTTCACGTACTTTTTAATAATGAAACAATTTAAAAAAAAATGTTAACCACATTTTTTACGAAATTAACCCTTCTTTTTTATTTTTAACCCCTTATGCCCAATTAAAAAATTTTTTTCTTATTTTCATTTAAAAGCTGAATAAATAACATCTCAATGAAACGAAAATATAGTAATTTAAAAATTACATTTTTAGAGCTGGTTCTCGATATGAAACTTACGATACTCAAGGAATGTCTCATCTTCTTCGAATAGCAGCAGGACTAACAACTAGCCGATCTACTACTTTCGGAATAACAAGAAATATTCAACAGCTTGGAGCTAATTTAACTGCGGCTTCTGATCGAGAAACTATTGCATATACAGTGCAAGTCCTTCGCGATAAAGTGTAAATCACCGAATTATACTTGATAATAATATTAAAATTTTAATATGAAGCATAATTCTATTTAAAACGATCCATATCATAAGCAATTGCCAATATAAGGCAGTTTTCAAGTAATTATTTCTCCTATTTAAAAAAACCGAACTTATAATCTCTCATTTTTTTGAAACTTATATAAAAATAAAGCTTAAGTATTCTATTTTATTCACTGTAAAGATTATAATAGACAATTAAGAAGATTTTGATAAATTAATTAAATTTTACAAAAATTTTGGAGGTTAAAGTATGCAAAAAATGTAAACCACTTATCAAACAAAGCAGCATTTGTTTCTACTAAACTTTATGAAATTACAAAATTTACACAAACATTGTACATAAGAAACCATTATTTTAAAATATTTATTGCTTTTTCTTTAATTCAAATGGAATATTTTAAAGTTTACGAAAGTGACAATTTGAATAAAAAATTCCGCTCTATTCATACGTTTTACTCTTTGAAATCGTAAAAATAAATTAATTTCTCAAAATTCCCTTAATTGTCAGTGAATAAACTAGAATTTGAAAACCATTAATAACAAATAAGGTTCAGTTTTATTAAATGGGATAAGCTTTTATTTAAAAATTGTCTTACATTGGCGATTGTTTGAGATGGGTAGTTTCCAAATTATAATGCCTCATATAAATATATAAAATTACTTGAAACAATATAATTTTTTTTTCATCATAATTTTAGAAGCCAAGCCTTGCCTTTCTTGGAAGACGTGGCAACTCGTCAGGTTTTTAAACCATGGGAAGTTTCTGATTCTTTTCCAAGGTTACGATACGAAATTTCAACTGTTCCTGAGGAATGCCGAATTATTGAGCTTTTGCACAAAGCAGCTTATCGTACTGGTTTAGGTTTCTCCCTATATTGTCTAAAAAGACAAATTGGAGAAATTAGTTCTGAAACAGTGAGTCTATTGATATTTATTATTTCATGAAAATCAAAAATTGAAATTTAATATTTTAACTTAATTGTTGATTAGTTTTAAATTTTAGTTATGACGTATCAACAGAAATAAACTTTATTTTCAGCTTCAACATTATGTTTCAACTTGGTTTTCGGGATCAAGATGTGCAGTAGTAGGAACTGGAATTTCTGCCTCAGAACTAAGTTCCTTCGCTTCGCAATTGCAAGTTAGTTCAAGTGACTGTAAAACGGAAGCATCCAAGTATTATGGTGGTGATGCTCGTAAAGAACGCAATTCACCAGTGGCTACTGTTGCATTAGCTTTCGAAGCTTCTGGATTGGAGAAGGGAAATGAAGCTCTAGCATTTGCAATTTTGAAAAATGCTGCAGGCACAGGTCCTTGCGTAAAATGGGGAAGCGGTGCATCTCCTTTAATGAAGGAATTGACAGCTGCAGCAGGTACCGAGCCTGTTGCTGCATCAGCATTTAATGCAAGTTATTCTGATTCTGGTTTATTTGGATGTATCTTGCAAACAACTCCTGACGTAGCAGGACAGGTAAATTTATTTTTTATCATATGAAAATAACATCATCAGAGATGTTAAAAATGGGTCTCAAAACCTATTTAAAATGCTAAATACTAAATGGTATCACAAAAAGTATTTCAAATATAAAATATAAAATAGTTTTCAAAAAGTTATTTCAAATGCAAAATAGAAAATACGCATTTTCAAAATGGTTTTACAAAATAAAATGCTTTTTTTTAAATGAACTTTATTTTTACGTAACTTTTTGACTTTTCCATAAAATAATATTGTATCCCTTATGAAACTGTTTTATATATTATTCTATTAATTTGACTTTATACAATAAACTACTTTTTTGAAAAAATTGTAAGAAAACTTTGTCAGCAATTAAATAAAATATCTCATTTTCGAATGCTTGATGTGAAATCCTATGTAAATATTGAAACTTTGATCCTAAAAATTTCCGTTTTTAGTATGTAAAAATGAATATTATCCCATAAAGTTTGGTAAAATTTAAAAGAAAATGAATTAGCCGAAGAATCTCCTTAAAAGAAAAAATTGCTACAATATAAAAAAAATTTTCTTGTATTTTGCATTTTCAAATACAAAATAATGAAAAAAACCATTTCAAATCAAAATGCAAAATGGTTTTCGTCAAATGCATTTAAAATGTAAAATGAAAATAGGCATTTTGCATTTTCTATTTTGCATTTGAAATAGATTTATTTGAAATAGTTAACATCTCTGCTGTAGCGCATGGCCGAAAGGGACTATACCAGTCAGACATCAGTGAGAGACCTAGAGGCGCTCACTGTTGTCTGACTGGTATAGTCCCTTTCGGCCATGCGCTACAGGCAGTTGTCCGATCCACGCCCTCAATTGTTTTCAAAAAATAACAATATTCATCATAAGAATTCAATTATTTTCAAAAGTAGATAGATAGATATTTATTTCCTTAATGCTACATGTTTACATGTTTTACATCCAAAAGAAAAAGCCACATAATACATTTTCACTCAATAAATTTCTCATATTTTCAAAAGTAATAAAATTCAGTTATATTCAAAAATAATAAAATTCTTCTCCGAAAATCAATTATTTTAAAGTATTTTAATAAAATTCTGCGCATGAATTCAATTATTTTTATTAATAATATGATTATTTTCAATACAATTTAACTGAAATTCATCGAAAGAATTAACCTTCCGTCACACACCTAGGGAGGGATTCCCTCTACGGTTTCAGTATTTTTTAAGTAACTTTTGTTTTCCTCATTGAAAAATAAAATCAGTTTCTATACCTTTCGACAATTTACTCCTCAACCCATTTCTAAAAAAATATTTAGTTTAAACATAATTAATATATAATTATGAAGCTTCAAGGCCAGAAAAAACTCGAAAAAGTGAGGTTATGTTAAATAAAAAAATCAAGTTTTCAAAACATTTTTTGTTCCACTGTTGGTTAATGACAAAATTATATTATAAATATAATTAAAATGAATTGTTTAATGATTTTTTTGCTTATTTGTTAATGTTACATTATTTTTACATGTCAAGTGGAATTCCTTCGAAGATGTGCATTCGTGTAATTAATTTTTATTTTTGAGACCGAAAATTAATTTTATTAATTTTATAATTTAGAATAATTTACTACATATTTGTAAGTTTGTGTTAAAACTAAATTTTTGTTGATTCCTTTGTTTATGTTGTAATGTTGCTTATTTTACAATGTGGTGAGGGATTCCCTCTAAACGTGTGTAAAGTCGTAATTTTTTCCCATGTGTGTGACGGAGGGTTAAATTGTTTTTAAAAATTTTAATAAAAATCTCTCTATAAGAATTCAATTATTTTTAATACGCAGTTTTAATGAAATATCTCGAAAGCATTTTATTTTCTTTGAAACAATTAAATTGTTTCCAATAAATAAAATAAAATAAATTTCTTGTCATGAAATTAATTATTTTCATAAATAATAAAATTCTTCGCAAAAATTCAATTATATTCAAAAATTAAAAAAAAAAATTTGTCAATTCATTTATCTTTTCAAATAATAAAATTCTTCTCTAAAATTCAATTATTTTCAAAAATTTTAATAAAATCCTTGGTAACATTTCAATTTTTTTCAAAAATTTTCCTCAATTCAATGATTTTTCAAATTTTTTATAAATTTCTTCGCAGTAATTCAATTATTTAATAAATGATTTATTTTTGTATTTAAATAATTGAATTTAAAATGAATTTCAGTTACAATTTTATACAACAATTGAATATAAAGCATTAGAGCGTACATTTTTAGAAATATAATTAAATTTTGAAAAGGTTTCAAATTAAAATATTTGAAAATTTGAATTTCTCATAATTTTAACTAACCATTCTATGGAATTAAATTTTTAATAAAGTTTAATTACGGATTTTTTAAAAAAATTATTTCAAGTTTTTATTTTTTAATATATATTTAATTGAAGAATTTACGAATAATTGAAATTTTGTAACATTGAATTGTACACAAATAAATTTGAAAATTCACAAAGATCTTTTTCAAAAATTATTAAAAATAATGCATTTATAGAAGAATTTTAGTTAAAAACACGAAAAAAATTTAATTTTGGAAACTTTACAAATTATTGCAGATATTCAATTATTTTCAAGAGTATTTAATTCTTTCCAAAAATTAAATAACCTTCAAAAATAATAAAATTCTTCTTAGGGATTCAATTATTTTTATAAATAATAAAACTCATCGCAGAACTTCAATTGTTTTTAATACAATTTTAATCAAATTTCTCGAAAAATGTAATAATTATTAAAAAATTTTGATAAAATTCGTCGAAAGAATTCAATTATTTAAAAATTTGTTAATAAAAATCTTTATGGGAATTTAGTTTTAAGAAACATTCAATTGTTCAAAAAATTATTTATTTTTGTATTTAAATAATTGAATTCTAGTAGAATTTTCTAATAAAAATTGAATTAAAAATGAATTTCAATTAAAATTTTGAATAATAATTGAAGATTAAAAGCAATATAACGTGAATTTTTAGAAATAATTGAATTTTTGAAAAAGTTTGATTCAATTTTTTTTTATATTATTTTAAGTTTTTATTTTTTCTAATATATATTTAATTGAAGAATTTACGAATGATTGAAATTTTGTAAAATTGAATATTGCAAACAAATGGATTTGAAAATTGTCAATGAACTTTTTCTAAAATTATTAAAAATAATCGATTTAAAGAAGAATTTTAGTTAAAAATTTTTTGAAAATAATAATTCAATTGATAATGATTTTATTACTAGGTCATCTTTAATTATTATAAAACATGAAGAAACGATCACTTCGAGTCGAAGACTCGTAGTTATCGATATCTTCATGTTTTATAGTTGTAAAAAATTTAATTTATAGTTTTAAGTAAAATGTTCTCTTATTTGTCTCGGACTATTTATATTTTTGTTGGTAATTGGTCCGTAAAGTCCGTATTTTTAAATACTTTCACTGGTTCGAGCCCTGCATCATTTCATATATAAAATGAACATTAAAGGACCCAGACGCGACCCCTGAGATACCCCGGAAGACAACCTGGACTGATAACTCTTAAAAAAAGCATAGTATACAAATTTACAAATCCATTCTGTTCATCAATTATAATTCCTGAAACCGCTGCATAAAAATGATCGAATATCAAAGATTTTAGCAAATGAACTTAAAATTGTTATAGGTCTATAATTTTGAGCTCCTGTCCCCTTATTTATATCAAGATTCTTTATTCTTGAAATCTGGAATGCCTCACTTAATTATAAATTTATTTATTTTAAAGTAAAATTACTATTTTTTCTGATAATAATATACGGAATTTGATTCATTAAGGTTACAAAAGCAGCAAACAAATGGCTACGATCTGCTAATATATCAGATGCTGACATTGCACGAGGTAAAGCAGCACTAAAAGCTAGTATTTTGGGTGCAACTGAATGTGGAGAAACGCAATTGGAAAATCTTACCCAACAAGTTCTATTGAGGGGAAAAGTAGTTACACCATTAGACCTTGCTGCTGAAGTAGATAAGGTTTCGGCTGCTGATGTTAAAAATGTAAGTATTTCATTTTTACATACAAGAAGCTTCAATAGAATCCCGGTCGAGTTGACCGGGATTTTATCTATTTGATAGGTACATTTAATTAGTTTTAAGAATGTGTTTCTAAAATAAATTAAATGTTATACTCTCTGAAAGTTAAAAAGCAGTCGATATGCCAAAGAAAATTTAACAGTATAACAAAAGCTGTAAAAAATACCTAAGGATTCATAAATTGTATTATAATTTATTGATTAACAGGCAGCCAAAAAAATCAGCAGCGGACGACCGACAGTAGCAGCAATTGGAAACATTAAAACTGTTCCCTACTCTGATCAACTATAAAGCAATTAAATTGTAAAAGAAGCAGTAATTAAATAATTTACAATTTCTTATTTATGTAAGTGATGGAAACCATGTTCAATTGTTATATCAACTATATATGATAAAGGATCGTGTTTTGCATCCATTCACGTAACTGTGTAAATAATATAATAAATACATGAAAATACAATTAAAAAAAATTATTTAAAAATTTTCTTTAAAATATATTTAACAATTTATAAAAATGGTTTTCGTTTTTATGTTCAAATTAATATTTTCTGTTATTCGAACTAAAGAACGATTTTATTAAAATTCACTATATGTTGATTTATAGAATAAAAATACCGATACTGAATAAAAGTGTATTATTTTATTTCGGAATTTTTTTGTCGTTCAAAAAAAAAATTTAGTTTCCATAAATGTTATGTTTTAAAATACAGGCAAACCTCTCTACGTCGGAAAGCAATTAGACGATTCCGCCGTAGAGAGGTTCGTTAAAATGCTATTAGTAAGTGAACGTTCAGGGATGTATCAACCATTTTAAATGATCTTTAAATATGAAACAGAAGTTATGATAATTTATTAATAGAGGCACTTCACGTCAGAAATATCACGATTTGCAAAGGGTCTGCCGATTTTTGCAAAACTTTGTGGGATTATAGTTCTATATAAGAGACTTCTTTCCCTCAAATTTTTTCAAAAAAAATTCAAAATTGTTAAAGATACGCCATTTTGAATTTTAATATTAATTTTATAAAATTTTGAATATCTCGGAATATTGTTTATGAATTTTTATAATAAAGTTATTAAAAAAATAGTACATTGTACAACTAGTGGCGAAAGTGTGATTTTTCGAGAGTGAAGTTTGCGGCTCGAGCGTAGCGAGAGCAGCAATCACTCTCGAAAAATCATTCTTTCACCACGAGTTGTGCACTACGTTTTCTCCAACGCCTTGCGAGGAAAGGTTTCTTCGTGAGTTTCGTATAATTTTAATTTAACGTGTGCTTATGTTTAATATAATAAAAGACGAATGTTTTGAGTGGGGAAGTAGTTAGATACAAAATAAATCTCGGTCAAAGAACAAGAAAAAAGAATAAATTCATGATTTACTTTCGCCACGCCAAATTTACTTTCGCTACGCTAAAAATTACTTTCGCCACGCTGAATTTACTTTCGCCACGCTCTTTAGAGCAGTTGAGAAAAGTTCTACTTTCGCCACACTTTTCTGCCAAGAAAAGTACTCCTTTCAGAGCAAGTGTTGGAGAAAAATAATTTTTAAATAAAAAAATTTTTTTTTAATTTTTAAAACAATTTTTTGTTTATTTACTCCTCTTGGAGAAAAATGTTATTAACATATTTAGATTCTTTATGAATTAACCTTTAATTTCATTAAAATAAATTGATGGAGACTCAACTGGGTCCGGAGATATTGAAGTTTTTGTAAAAAATAGGCCTACTTGCAGCAGCAATGCACGGCGACTTGTGCAGTATGGTGCTATGGCGCGGCGACGCTTTTTTTTACAAAAACTTCAATATCTCCGGACCCAGTTGCGTCTCCATCAATTTTTTTTTATGAAATTAAAGGTGAATACAGAAGGAATCCGAAACATTTTTCTCAGAGAAGAGTAAATAAACAAAAAATTGTTTAAAATTTTTTTATTTAAAAATTAATTTTTTTTAATAACTTTATTTGCATTTTACAGTACATACTTTTACCTAAAAAATGTGTAAATTTCATAAAAATCCGAAAACAAAATTTCGAGATATTCAAAATTTTATAAAATTAATATTAAAATTCAAAATGGCGTATCTTCAACAATTTTGAATTTTTTTTTGAAAAAATTTAAGGGAAAGAAGTCTCTTATATAGAACTATAATCCCACGAACTTTTGCGAAAATCGGCAGACCCTTTGCAAATCGTGATATTTCTGACGTGAAATGCCTCAATAACCTTATTTTAAAATATGTATTAAAAATCATTAAATTCTTTTTTTTTTGTTAAAAGTCAGTTTTTGGATCGTAATATAATTTGTGTTTTGAGGTTTAGGCCAAAGAATCCAAATTTTCCATTAAAAAATTTTGAAGACAATTTTTAGTTAGTCAACATATTTATTATTAATATAATTGTCTCGACGTTTCGATGGTAGCCACCATCCTTTTCAAGAGAAAACATTGTGGTAAAGCATGTTTAATTTATTTTAGGAGTTGAGAAACAACTCCTCACCACCACCACTACATATTTAAATAAATAAAATTATATTAGTAAAAAATTATGATTAAATTCATAACTGTTTTTTGAATTTCTTGCAAAGAATTTTGTCAAAAAATTTGAGAATAATTGAATTCCTTCGCGGAATTTTATTATTTATTATGAAAATAATCGAATTCTCGCGAAAAATTTAATTAAAATTTATAAAAATCCTAATTAAATTCTTTTGAAGAATATCTTCAAACTTTTTAAAATAATGGAGTTTCTTTAATAGTTATAATTGAAATTTTTTAAAGTAATTGAATTATACAAAGAATTTTTTCAACTTTTTAAAATAATCGTGTCTGTTAATAATTTTAAATATTTGATTTTTAAAGTTTATTAAAATTGTATTGAAAATAATAGAATTCCTGAGGAGAATTTTATTATTTATAAAAAATAATTTAATTTTTGCGATAAATTTTAAATATAATTTTTTTTTAAATAAGGTAAAGGTCCCAATTATGGGACAATTTACAATTTTGTCCCTATTATGAGACAGTATTATAAAAAATAAAATAAATGCAATTAAAATTGGTCATAAGAAATTTCTACTTATTTCAAAAAATTTTACACGTTAAAAGAATAATTATTTTTGTATAGCATTTAATTTAATAAGAAATGTTTATTTGCATTTTAGCTTTTAAATTAAGGTAAGCCAAGTTTTTCGTCAGACTACCGTCCCACATTAGGTGCACTTATTATTTGCTATCCCTATTATGAGACACACAGGAAATATACAGCAAACATAACCTCAAATATTTTCAGTTTTTTCGCATTAATTTTCTACCAGAAAAATTAGTTTTATAATTATTTTTTAAACCAGAATTTGTTTATTGTATTTTATTCTTTATAATTAATATTCAAATTATTAGGATAAGTCAATAGAATTCTAATTACTTATTGAATTAAATAAATGTCTCATAATAGGAACATTCATTATGGGACACCCGTACATACAGAAATCATAGTCCCATAATTAGTGCAGTGCAGAGTTTCATAATTTAATTAATATTATTTTTATTTCATGAAAAATAACCATTTTAGGGTCTAAATATTATTCATAACATATCAATCTTTCAATCTATACCCTAATTATTCATATTAACACTCCCGATTCCAAGAAATTTAGTTTAGCTTAAACAGCGTCCCATAATTGGTACTTTTACCTTACTTTGATTTGTTTTTCTATTCATTTTATCATTTTTTATGTTTATTTTTTATCATATATATATATAAAAAAAATTAGAATTCGAAACTTTTCGGCCCTGAATTTCATGGCATTCACACAGTCACAACTCTCACGATATAATCCCTTCTACTTCTACCTGGCGAGTTTCCGCCGTAGAGAGGTTTGCCTGTATGTTTTTCATTCACCTGAAAATGGGTGGTCTCTCAACTTTGATCGGTAGTGTAAAAATTTAAATTTTTTGAGATTGGCTTGATATTCTGGTAAATTCTTTTATATAAAACAAAAGAAATAAAATTCAAAAATAAACTTTTAAAAATTAATTATTATTTATGATTTTAATTTAATTATTATATTTTGTTTTTATTGAGAAACTTCTTGCTTTGTAACCAATTTAAAGGAATATGCTGCAATAATTAAGGTAAAGGTCCCAATTATGGGACAATTTACAATTTTGTCCCTATTATGAGACAGTATTACAAAAAATAAAATAAATGCAATTAAAATTGGTCATAAGAAATTTCTACTTAAGGTAAAAGTACCAATTATGGGACGCTGTTTAAGCTAAACTAAATTTCTTGGAATCGGGAGTGTTAATATGAATAATTAGGGTATAGATTGAAAGATTGATATGTTATGAATAATATTTAGACCCTAAAATGGTTATTTTTCATGAAATAAAAATAATATTAATTAAATTATGAAACTCTGCACTGCACTAATTATGGGACTATGATTTCTGTATGTACGGGTGTCCCATAATGAATGTTCCTATTATGAGACATTTATTTAATTCAATAAGTAATTAGAATTCTATTGACTTATCCTAATAATTTGAATATTAATTATAAAGAATAAAATACAATAAACAAATTCTGGTTTAAAAAATAATTATAAAACTAATTTTTCTGGTAGAAAATTAATGCGAAAAAACTGAAAATATTTGAGGTTATGTTTGCTGTATATTTCCTGTGTGTCTCATAATAGGGATAGCAAATAATAAGTGCACCTAATGTGGGACGGTAGTCTGACGAAAAACTTGGCTTACCTTAATTTAAAAGCTAAAATGCAAATAAACATTTCTTATTAAATTAAATGCTATACAAAAATAATTATTCTTTTAACGTGTAAAATTTTTTGAAATAAGTAGAAATTTCTTATGACCAATTTTAATTGCATTTATTTTATTTTTTATAATACTGTCTCATAATAGGGACAAAATTGTAAATTGTCCCATAATTGGGACCTTTACCTTATTTCAAAAAATTTTACACGTTATAAGAATAATTATTTGTGTATATCTTTTAATTTAATAAGAAATGTTTGTTTGCATTTTAGATTTTAAATTAAGGTAAGCCAGGTTTTTCCTCAGACTACCGTCCCACATTAGGTACACTTATTATTTGCTATCCCTATTATGAGACACAGGAAATATACAGCAAACATAACCTCAAATATTTTCAGTTTTGTCGCATTAATTTTCTACCAGAAAAATTAGTTTTATAATTATTTATTAAACCAGAATTTGTTTATTGTATTTTATTCTTTATAATTAATATTCAAATTATTAAGATAAGTCAATAGAATTCTAATTACTTATTGAATTAAATAAATGTCTCATAATAGGAACATTCATTTTGGGACACCCGTACATACAGAAATCATCGTCCCATAATTAGTGCAGTGCAGAGTTTCATAATTTAATTAATATTATTTTTATTTTATGAAAGATAACCATTTTAGGGTCTAAATATTATTTACAATACATATCAATCTTTCAATCTATACCCTAATTATTCATATTAACACTCCTGATATACCAAGAAATTTATCATAGAAATTTAATTTAGCTTAAACAGCGTCCCATAATTGGGACTTTTACCTTATTCGGTAACTCAGTTTTTTTTTAAATATAAAATGAAAGTTAACAACAATTAATTATTATTTAAACTAAATTTTATCAAGAATCTTCTTTTTATGTAATAGTTTTCATGGATATAAATTATTGTGGGTTTATTCAATTATTTTCCCAAATAATAAAATTTATATTTATATAATACGCGGAGAATAACCCATATCTATAGTAATAATTGATTTTCTCCATTTTTTAAAAGTATTTATACCGATCGATAAAAAACAATTTTGTGATTTGAAAAGATAATTATTATAAAATGATTTACAGTATTGGGACAATTGGGGTTCTACTTTAATGAAATATTGAGTCTTATTTTTTTAAAAATATTTGATTTTTATACTGAAAGACAATAAAATTCAATTAATTACAACTTAATATAGTTTCACTTCTTCTATCGAATAAAACTTATGAAAATCTTGTGCTGTCGGTTTAATAGGTTTTCCTCTTAAAATCCTAACCAACATCGGCCTTAAATTTTCGAAATCCTTTAGTAACTGAAACTAAAAAATTTTGATCAGCTTTTGTACAAAATAATTTTAATAAATATTAATAAATATATTTCATAAGTAAAATTAGTTAATGTAGAGGAAACTGGGGCGAAAGGTTAAATGCATAAATTATTTTTTTAGACAATATAATACGCTTAGATGCAAATATTTGTGACGCGTTCCCAAGAAAGGTACCTAAGAAGCAAAAAATTTGAGGTTATGTTTTAAATTTTTTGAGTAAAAATACAGAAAGAGAATCAATTAATAATTAAAAATTGTTGGTCTTCAAGTCTTTATTATATTCAAAATATTTAATGAATATTGGTTTCAAATTCAAATAATTAAAAATGAACTTTTAATCAAGATAAATCTAACTCGAACCCAACCTATAATTCGTTTGCTTCTTAGGTACCTTTCTTGGGGTCGCGTCACATTTATATATAAATATTGTAGGGCAACTTGTCCTCTACAACTTTCAATAAAAAAGTTTCTGATATTTTCGCATAAAACACATGTTTTGTCCTTTTTTGAAAATTCTGTTTTTTTATCTTTTCGCCCCATGCTGGGGCGAAAAGTTAAATGACTAGGGCTAAATGTTAAATTCTATTTTTAGCCTACTAAATCTATTTTCTGATAGGTTTTAAGCAGTAGATAACTTAAAGTATACGTAAACAAGTAATTTAGTTAATAAAAGATCTGTGTTTATTTAACAAAAAATTTAGAACAGTTTTTAAAGTTAAAAAAATAAAATTTCAAAAAAAAAATTTTGGTTTATTTCACGTGAAGGGTCTTGTTTTTTGACAGAGTACTTGCCTAATGTCAAATAAATCATTTTTAAACAAATAAACCCAAAAAAACAAAAAATAAAAAAAAAATTTTTAACAACATGTAAAAATACATTTATTTAACTTTTCGCCCCAGGGTGCGTTTTTGGCTTTAACAACAAATATAAAAAATCTGACTAAAGATATTTAGCAAATTCCTTTAGGTAGATACCCAAATAATGAAGTAAAAAAATTGCGATGAGAATAAATTCAAAAAATATACTTAAAAGTTGATATTTTCTTTTACGAAAAAATTTTCAAATGTAGGGTGAAAAAAAATTTAAATATGGACACCACAAAAATGAACAGAATGTCACATAACTCCGGACATTTATTTAGGGTGATAACACCCTTCTATAATTAAAATTGCAATGCTCTAACTATTTCCGTTCGAAAGATAATGATTTTTAACTGTTTTCACAGTTTAACCTTTCGCCCCAGTCTCCCCTATATTGAAAATTAAAGCATTATATGTATTTCAATTATAACTCACGTGGTGATCGAGAATGACTTGAAGATTCTGGAATTGATTCAATATCTGAGGATCTCGAGCTAAAAGATAATTTTGATAATGAGAGTCCAGTAACAAAATAGTCCATTGATATAATTGCAGAAAATTAGGTTCAACTAATCTTTGGTCTGAATTTTCCTCAATATCTAATCGTTCAACAAGATTTTGTAACAGTTTCAAAATTTCTTCAAAACTTAAACTCAATTTTAGATGCATCAGTAAATAAATGTCAGTATATGTTGAACTAAAAATTTTGTTTAAAAATTTTTTCTGCATATTCGACTCAATTTTCGACGGTTCCTCGTCATTGTCTGAATTTTTTGTTGAAAAATTTACATTGTCATCAGACAAGGTTCTTAAAGAAAATGATAGTACGTCTACTAACAGCTTTTCCGGTAGATCACGAAAATTGTCAAGGCACCACAATATCGAAGAAATGTCTTTGGATTCAATTAACTCAGGAATGATTACCTCAGGTATGGCAGAATTTCGGAAACCTTCATTCGTTAAATGAGAGACATGTTTCAAAATAGATTTTGTCAATTTATTCGCGTCTAGTTTAACAGGACTTACTGCCTGTTGTTCCCATTCTGAAATTACTCCTTCGCTAGTTTTAATAACTTCAACATCGTTTGTCTCATCAAAATCATTATTTTTATGATTTAATGAAGAACCAACCATTGGTTCTAATCTCTGTGGTGACAAACGGAAAGGAGCAACTGCCAAATGTCGATTTGCAGCCAACAATAATTTATCTTCGACTTTCCAGAGTTTCGCATCATTTGTGTATAATTTCAATTTTTGAACGGCTTGCACTAACTTGAATTGTACATTGTAAATACTCAACACAGCACCTTCCTCCAAAGAATCGGCTCCATACAGGGCAATAGTCGTTTCGTTTAAGGAAATAATTACCACTGGATATTTTGTATTTATAATTGTAATTTTACTAAGTAATTCGCCTGGGCTATTTATTGATGATGTACTGGTTAAAGAGTAACTGTACAATCTACCATCTGACCCTGTAATATTAGTGATATAAATTATCTTTACAATTCTTCAAATATACATAATATAAGAATATTAATATAAAATATGAAGATATCGATCGTGTTCGCTTTCTTCATGTTTTATAATAATTAAGGACATTTGAACCATTATGAAGTCACAATTTTTGCAAAGCATGTGTTTTAAAACTGTGACGTCATAATGGTTCAAATGTCCTTATAAATTTATAAAATCATTATTTTATATTACAAGAATATTGTTACTGTAACTTCTTCAAAAATTATTTTCATCATTTCGATACAATTATTAATTTCTAGTTTATTAGAAAAATCTACGAGAATTCAGTTATTATAATACAAAAATAAATATTTTTTAAAAATAATTGAATGTTTCTTACAATTGAATTCTCAAAAGAATTTTATCAAAAAATGTATAAATAATTAATTTCTCTTGATAAATTTTAATAAAATTTTTAAGAATAATTTCATTTTTCCAGAAATTTGATTAAAATTATATTAAAAATAAAAATAATTGAATTCCTGTATAGAAATTGGTTACCTTATGAAAATAATTGAATTATTGCGAAAAAAATTGTAAATAATTTGAATTCCTGTGAAAACTTTATTATTTATAAAAATAATTAAATGTTTGCGTAGATGTTTATTAAAATTTACTTAAATTATTTAATTCTTTTGGAAAACTATTAAAGTAGTAGATATTACAAATTATTGAAATGAGGAAAGTTTTTGAAAATAATTGAAATTTTGACAAGAATTTCATTAAAGTTATTTTGAAAAAAGTGAATGGTAACAAAGAATTTCATTCAAATTTTGAAAAATAATTTATTCCTTAAAGAAATTTAATTAAACATGTATTGAAAATAATACTTAAATTCGAATAAATAAATTATAGCAAAGCTTTTTAAAATAATTGAATTCCTTTGATAAATTTAGTAAATAAGTTGAATAATAACATTTTTTGAGGAATTCCGCTAAAATTTTAGGTACATTAAAAATAATTAAAAGTTTGCGATAAGTTTTATTATTTATGAAAGTAATTGGATTCGAAAAACGAATTTTATTATTTATGAAAATAATTGAATAATAATAAATTATGAAAATAATTTGTAAATAATTAAATTCCTGTGAAATTTTAATTATTTTTGAAAATAATTAAATGTTTGCTTAGAATTTTATTGAATTTTTTTTAAATAATTGAATTCTTTTGGAAAATTTGATTAAAATAGTAGATATTAAAAAACATTGAATTCAGGAAAATTTTTGAAAATAATTGAATTTCTGAGAAGAATTTTTTTACTTTTTAAAATAATAAATTGAATTCCTTCAACGAATTTTATTATTCATGAAAGAATTTAAATATTTATAAAAATAATTTAATTTTTGCCAAGAATTTTATAAAAATTTTTAAACATTTGAATTTTTTCTGACTAATTTTATGCAAATTCTAATTTAAATAATTGAATTCCTGAGAAATTTTTATTATTCATGAAAAAATTTAATTCTTACGAAGATTTTTACAAAAAATTTTTAAATAATTGAATTCTGTTTGAAAATTTTATGAAAATAGTAGATATTGAAAATCATTGAATTGCGAAAAGTTTTTAAAAATAATAAAATTTTACAAAGAATTCTATTAAAATTTTTGACAATAATTGAATTCCTAAAAATCATTTTATTATTTATGAAAATAATTGAATTCTTGCGAAAGATTTTATTAGAATTTTTTTAAATAATTGAATTTCCAAGAAGAAATTTATTACTTTTAAAAATAATTGAATTCTTGTGCTGCATATTGTTATTTATGAAAATAATTGAATTTTGCAAAAAATTTTATTAAAATGCCTCAAAGTAACTGAATTTTCAGGAATAATTTTGTTATTAATCGACATAATTGAATCAGTGTGGCCGCAAGATTGACTTTATCAATTTCCCTGACAAAAATTTTTTTGTTTAGAGCAAAAAATGTATTGCGTGACCGTCTTATTTTCTTTAATTGCCCTGACAAAAAAATTTTCCCTGACATTTCCCTTCTTCTTTAATTGCCCTGACAAAAAAATTTTTCCTGACATTTCCCTGACTTTACTGACAAAAAAATTTTTCCTAACATTTCCCTGACTTTACTGACAAAAAATTTTTTTCCTGACATTTCCCTGACTTTACTGACATGTGGCCACCCTGTGAATTCATAGGGAGAATTTTATTAAAATCTAAAAGAATAATGTTGAATTATTTCAAACAAATTTAATTAAAATTGTATTTAAAATAATTGATATCTTTCGAACAATTTTATTAAAATATTTACAAATAATTGAATTCCTGTGAAAAATTCTAATATTTTTGTAAACAATTGAATTCTTCCAAAGAATTTTAAAAAAACATTTTCATAAGTATTAATTTGATTTTTTCGAGGAATTTAAATTATTTTTTTAACATTTTTTTATCAATTCCTGTAAAATTGTATTAAAAATAATTGAAATATGCGATAGATTTTATTATTATTTATGAAAATAATTGAATAGTTGCTAAGAATTTTATTAAAATTTTCGAAAATAATTGACTTTTATTATTTATGAAAATAATTGAATTATTACGAAAATTTTATTAAAATGATTAAAAAGAATTCAATTTCTGTGAAAAATGTTATTATCTTTGGAAATAATTTGAATTCTTCATAAGAATTTTATAAACATTGTTTCAAATGATTATTTTTTTGAAATATAATAAATATTATGAAAATTATTTTAAATAATTGAACTCTTGTGGAAAACTTTATTTGGGAAAATAATTGAATTTTTCGATTAATTAATTTAAAGTAGTATTGGAAATAATTGAAATTCTTTGATGAGTTTTATTATTTTTGAAAATAATTGAATTCTTGTTTAGAATTTTATCAACAATTTAAAAAAAAAATTGAATTTCCATGAAAAATGTTATTATTAAAAGTAATTGAATTATTGTAAGTAATTGTATAAAAATTATGTTAAATAATTGGATGATTTTTATCAATTTTTTTTTAAATAGGTAATTGAATTCTTTTGCGAAATTTTATGAAGATACTAGATATTGAAAATAATTGAATTTCGAATATTTTTGGAAAATACACTGACAAAAAATTGGTTAGAATGTGTTTTTTACTCAGACAATTTTTGCCTAAGAACAAAAGCAATACACACAAAGCAATTGTTTATTTAAAAATAATCAATTTTTGTCTTAAATTAAGACAAAAATTGATTTTTTTTAAAGAAACAATTGCTTTGCCTGTTTTGTTTTTAAATTTAGGCAAAAATTGCCTAAGTAAAAACCACATTCTAACCAATTTTATTTCAGTGTAATTGAATCGTTTTAAAGAATTTGATTGTCATTTTTGAGAAAAGTTTTTTGATTTCTTGTATTAAATAGTAGGTTTTAGTAGACGAGTGCGAAGCCTGACTAAAAAATTAAATCAATTTTCTCAAATATCATTTGTCTACTTACACAGTGTTAAGAGATAGGCATTTTTTTTGTCCTGCATCACGACATGTCCAACTAAAGTTTCAAAATCACGTTTTAATTCTATACGCTTAATTTTGTCAGCTTCTCCTAAGAATGTGTCATTTTCAAGTGGCATTAAAATGTAATTAAATATATTGTCCAGCTTAGTCAGAGTGCAAAGGTACGATTTATAATTGACATTAACCAATTGCGACTTCAATAAAGTTTCTTTGGGCTTTAGAATTTCTTTACAAGACCAATTTTGCTTGTTTTTAAGAGCCCATTCCAATGACGCAGTATTTCCATTTTGTAACAATACCACTGGTGGAAATCCTTCCAATATAAGAATGCTATGAAGAGGAAGAGTAAACTTATTCTTTTTCACCTTATCAAGTTCTGTTTCTTCTTCTAGCCAAACTCTAATGTATTTTTCATTGAATACTGCAGAATATAATTTTGTCGTTGGATCGTAAATAACTTGGCTTGTAAGTCTTTCCTTTGTGGACCAACTACTGACTTGCTTAACATCTTGCAACTGAAAGCAAAAAATATTTCTGTAAAAATAGATGTAAAAGGTATCAAAGTAGGATCATTTTAAAGTTTAATAAATTTAGAGTCAAATGAGCCATGAAATAAACAATTTAATAATGCAAATACATAGCTCTAACCAGTGAAAGTCAAATAAGAAAATATTTTACTTAAAACTATAATTAAAATTTTTCATAACTATGAAAAATATTTGAAATTTTGCTAAGAATTTTATTAAAATTTTTGAAAATAGTTTAATTTTAGAGCAAAATTTTATTATTTATGAATATGATTGAATTTGAGTTATTAAAATTTTTCAAAAATCTAAAGTTTTATAAAATTTCTAATTAAATTCATTCCAAATTGAAATTTTATAAAACTTAAAATTAAATTCATTCCAAATTGAAATTTTATAAAATTTCAAATTAAAACCTTTTGAAGTTTATCTATCTATGATTTTTGAAAAATTTAGAGAGCAAAAGAAGTTATTTTTATATAATTTAAAGAAAATACTGTAAAGCTTTTAAAAAATTGCTTTTTAAAAAGAATTTTGGCATTGAAAAGTACACAAAGTATGTTATAAAATTCACTGTAAGTTAAACACCTTATAGTGAATTTTAAAACATACTTTGTGGGAGCAGTTCACGTGGAATTGCTCTGAAAATGACATTTTAAATTTAGTCACTCATATATAACCTAAAAACTAATTTGTAGGCATCTGAAATACTTTAAATAGAATACCACCTTCTGTTAGATAATAATAAACAGAAATAAGAAAAAACTGTAATGTTTAAATAGGAAAATAGTAAAATAAGTATATTTTTTAAGTTATTTTGATTTGAAAAGCTATTAAAAAAAAAGAAATCCAACCTTATACCGAATTACGATATTCTTTCCAAGTGTGATTACTGCACATCCAGAACCTGAATCTTTTTCAACACCAAGTAAATTCTGTTGGTCAATTAAAGGTGACAACGTATAATACGAGCAAAGTTTAGCCATTGCAGAGATTCGAATATAATATTTACAAACTTGTGCAAAAAGAAGCCATCACAGAACACGTGTTCACTTTGTTTGTATAAAGCTAAATCCACAATAAGGCCGGTTATCAGGAAAGCAGTTCTATAAAGGCCTTTCTTCAATACGATCGATACGATCACACCACATTGCGTCGGTTGCTATGGTAACATAAAATCAACGCAACGCAGACTTTTAGAACCTATTGCAAAAAGGCCTTTATATTATTTTTTTCTTCATATCGCTATTAGCAGACCAGTTCTCTAAAAAATAATAGTGAAATAATTTTGCTCGTGTACCTAATCAACGACAAATTTTAATATTTGTTATTTAACATATTATTATAATTATAAGTACATTAGGTATTTAATCGAAATTAATATTTTACTTAATAATATTTACCAAGTGGCTATTTCGCCCGATGTCGGGCGAAACAAGAAAAATTTTTTATTTCGCCTGTTGTAAAAGTACACAGTGTCGGGCGAAATAAGAGAAATAGTTTATTTCGCCCGTTGGAAAATAAAAATTTGCTAAATTAGAAACTGGCGAAGTAAAATTAACTAGGTTAAAAAGGTGGGAATTTTGAACTAAGTAAGTGCAATCGGAAATTGAATTTATTTTTAAATTATAAGGTTTATTATTTATATTTATTTCTTTGTAGAAAATAAATAAAATTTATTTAATAATAAAATAAATAATTTAAATATTACCTATTATTAATATTATTTAGATTAACAGCAATATCAATCTTCGAGAAAGAAATTGACAATCAAAATATTTATTTCTTTTTGTACAATTAACACATGATCTACATTTTTTGTCATATCGTTTCTATATAAATTTTTAAGAATGGTAATTAATTAAATTATTTAATTAATTATTTTAATTACATTTAAAATCAATTTAATTGTAATATGGCTTATTTTTTCAAAAAATTATTCTCTGCAACGTTACTGTTCATATTTCTAAACAAGCACGCGGTTTTGAAAATATGCTTATTTTTTTATAAGAAATTTTTGACCTTTTAAAAAACAAAGTTACATTTAGTCTTAACCCGTTAAGAAAAAAAGACTTCTGGCCAATAAAAATAAACTCCTCCTATTTTCAAAATGCAATTTTTTATTTGTTAGTTGAGTTAAATTAATATTTGAAAAATAAAACATATAATACCAACCCCCAAAGAAAAAATGGATGTTTTAGACCAATAAAAATAAAAAACAAACTCCTCCTATTTTCAAAATCAATTTTTCCATTTGTTGGTTGAGTTAAACAAAATGAAGAAAAAAATTAATATTTAAAATTTTTTTATTTGTTGGTTCAGTTGAAAAAATGGAAGAATATTTATAATTTTAAAAACATAAAATTTAACCATAACCCTTGAAAAATAAAATGGATGTTTAAGACCAATTAAAATAAAATTTAAACTCCTCCCTCTTAATGAAAGATATTTTTATTCGTGGGTTCAATAGAGGAAAATGGAGAAAATATTAAACTTTAAAAAATATAAAATTTAGTATCTACCGCTCACGAAAAAATATACTGCTATTAGCCAATAAAAAAAAAGATTCAAACTTCTCCTACTTAAAGAAAGAAATTTTTTATTCGTTGGTTCAGTTAAACAAAATGGAGAAAATAATTAATATTTGAAAAATAAAACATATAATCCCAACCCACAAAAGAAAAAATAAAGTATATAGAATAGAAAATTAAATTGAAACTCCTCCTATTTTTTCGGAAAGGGTTATGGTTAAATTTTTTGTTTTTAAAATTATAAAAATTCTTCCATTTTATCAACTGAACCAACAAATAAAAAAATAGCTTTCTTTAAGAAGGAGGAGTTTAAATTTTATTTTAATTGGTCTAAATCATCCATTTATCCTTTTGGGGGTTGGAATTATATGATTTATTTTTTAAATATTAATTTTTTCTCCATTTTGTTTAACTCAACCAACAAATAGAAAAATTGATTTTGAAAATGGGAGGAGTTTGTTTATTATTTTTATTGGTCTAAATCATCCATTTTTTCTTTGGGGGTTGATATTATATGTTTTATTTTTCAAATATTAATTTAACTCAACTAACAAATAAAAAATTGCATTTTGAAAATAGGAGGAGTTTATTTTTATTGGCCAGAATAAATATAAATAATAAATCTTATAATTTAAAAATAAATTCAATTTCAGATTGCACTTACTTAGTTCAAAATTCCCACCTTTTTAACCTAGTTTATTTTACTTCGCCAATTTCTAAAGGAGCATTCAGACCTCTGCAGACTGCCTGCCTGCGCAGACAGAAGATCGTTCAAGGTACACTCTCACCTCACTGCCTGCCTGCCTGCCTGCGCAGGCAGGCGCTATAAGAGTGAGAGAGAAAAAACATTTTTTCTACCACACGCACCGAAAGTACACCATTTCCTACGTGTTTAGCGGGAGAAAAGTGTATGATTCCCTGCGAGCGGGAGGGAATGTACATTCCCTCCCGGCTAGTGACGTCACCGGGAGGGAATGTAACATTCCCTCCCTGTGAGGGAGGAAAAGTAACTTGCTTTCTCGGTAATATTATCAAAGTATGACCATTGATGAATCAGTTACGTGAGTTACGTCAGCTAAGTGACTTACGTAACTTACGCGAGTTACGCAAATGGTGTAGTTACGTAACTTACGTAAATGGTGTAGTTATGTTAGTCTTTCGAGTTACAAATAATAAATGATTTACGTAAGTTACGTAACTTACGTTACTTACGTTACTTACGCTACTTGCGTAAACCTACGCTCTTTGGGTTAGTTTAGTTATTTTAAGCTTTTCACAAACTTTCAGTTACCACAGTTGTAACTATACCGCCCCCAGCTACAACTATACATTCAAAAGTAACAATCAAACTGCCGCGTTTGTACTTTCGGTATACGTGTGTTAGAAAAAATAGTATGTGCAACTCGGGAGGAAAATTGATTTCCACTCGTGTTTTACAGTTCTCGGCTTCGCTCGCAAGCACTCGCCTTCGGCTCGTTTGCTCGCTACGCCTCGAACTGCAAACTACACTCGTCGGAAATCATCCATTTCCCTCCCTTGATGCACAATCTACTATAATTTGAATTTTCTTACACTCTTACTCCTATGTGTTACCATGTCAACCTGCAGGCAGGCAGTAGGAGCTGTGCTAGCGCCTTTATACCTCACTTTTACCGTTGAAAAATGAGGGAAGATTTGAATTTTAATAGATATTCAAATCTTCCCTCATTTTTCAACGGGAAAAGTGAAGTGTGAACGATCTTCTGTCTGCAGAGGTCTGAATGCTCCTTAATTTAGCAAATTTTTATTTTCCAACGGGCGAAATAAACTATTTCTCCTATTTCGCCCGTTTATTTTCATACATTTTTCTGACGGGCGAAATAAACTATTTCTCTTATTTCGCCCGACACTGTGTACTTTAATACTTTTACAACGGGCGAAATAAAAAATTTTTCTTGTTTCGCCCGACATCGGGCGAAATAGCCACTTCGTAATATTTAAGGTAAAGGTCCCAATTATGGAACGCTTTTTAAGCTAACTAAATTTCTATGATAAATTTCTTGGAATTAGGAGTGTTATTATGAATAATTTGGGTATAGATTGAAAGGTTGGTATTTTGTGAACAGTATTTAGGTCCTAAAATGTTTATTTTTCATGAAATAAAAATAATATTAATTAAATATTGTGAAACCCTGCACAAGTACCGATTATGAAACGATGAATATTTTATTCAATTAGTAATTAAAATTGTATTCAATTATCCCAATAATTTGAATATTAACTATAAAGAATTAATTATACAAAGAATAAATTCTAGTCTGTTCCATCTTTCTGTCTGTTCCATCAATCGAGACATGCAAATCATAAGTGTATACCTAATGTGAAACGGTAGTTTGACGGAAAACCAGGCTAACCTTAATTTAAAAGTTAAAATGCAATTAAACATTTCTTATTAACGGTGTTCGAAGGTCTCTTAAATTTCTCGATAATGTGCGACTAACAGATATCACCCAACAAATACGGCACTGACCGATTTAAATGACGTGAAATTGGTAACGTACATTTGTCACAAATGTTTTTAATTGTCTGAATTCAAAAGATTTTGTTAATCCATTCAGAAACGCAGTTGCTGGATTGGAATTACCATAGCAATGTAATGCGAATCATTTTAACAGCTGAGCCTTTACGCTCGCTGCATGCTTCTTGCCGCCTGTCATTACATTACTTTTGTATTTCCAATCCTGCAACCGCGTTTCTGCATGGATTAACAAAATCTTTTGAATTCAGACAATTAAAAACATTTGTGACAAATGTACGTTGTCTGATTTTGTAAAAAGTGCCTGTGAACAGAGAAAAATTTGTTAGAAAATGAATATTTACCAATTTCACGTCATTTGAAACAGGCAGTGCCGTTTTTCTTGGGCGATAACTGTAAGTCGCACATAACCTACAAATTTCAGAGACCATCGAACGTTCTTAAATCAAATACTATACAGAAATAATAATTCTTATCTCGTGTAAAATTTATTGAAATAACTAGAAAATACATTTCCACGGAAATTCGAATGAAATTCTGCTATTCCCGTAATATATTATACAGAAATTTATGTGAAAATTCCACACGTATCCAAGTAATAAGGAGTGCTTTTATGCTTTTATGCCCTTAAATTCCAAACCAATTCCGTTTTTGTCCGCAATCTTAATGAATTCCTTTTGTATTGTTAAGTTGTTCATTTCTAACTGATTTCTAACAAGGTTGCCACACAATCAACCTGAAAAATCCTTGAAAAAACCTGGAAAAGTCAGAGAATTTTGATCGAAATCCTGGAAAATTGTTATTTTCTAAAGTTTATTTTTGAAATCTAATTTTACATAAAATTTCAAAATTAATTAAATTTTCAAAAAGTTGCGTTTACAATTTTCATAAGTACAGATGAATTTCAAAAGATTTTTGAGAAATTTTTATTATTCCAATTCTTCTGAAATTAGTTAAATTTTTTAAAATATATTTTTAATTGATTATTAAAAATAATGGAATTATAGAAGAATTTTAATTAAAAACACTAAAAGAAATTGA